TCTGCGTTTTATAAGATTATATATCTAAATAAAATGAAAAAAATAATGGGCAGAGTTGAATTAAACCAGGAAACAGTGGTATTAATAGACAATAAAAAAGATGAAAATTTAACAAGTAGAGCTTTGAACATTGGGAGATCAGCCAATTCTGCTAACTTTCGGTATTTTCAGGCGATTTTGGTAAATTGATTTCCCAAAATTTAGGAAATCAATTGACTGAAATTGTCTGAAGATACTGAAAGATTGAAACCAAGGTAGCACAATCAGCTGATCTCCTATTTTTATATATATATATATATATATATATATATATATGTGTGTGTGTGTGTGTGTGTTGGGGCTGCAATCCATATTTTATACACGTTTCATTGAATATGACAGACAAGAAATATTTTGTAAGTTTTTTATTCAATTATTATTGAACATTTTCTTTTATGAAAGGGAGCTTTGAAAATATGACACTCACAGCACACATTGAAGACAAGAGGGACAGAGGAAAGCAACAAATAACTTATCTAATGAACTTGTGCAAATGATTGACAGAACAGGAATTAGGAGAGATAGCAAAAAGACAAAACTTAGAGCTCAAGGACAAGAAGTTGTGATCTGAAGGGACACAGTACATAGAAGAGTGTGTAGCAACTGTCTGTAGTGATTAAAAAAAAAAAAAACAACAAAATTAAATTGATTTTTAAATAAGATTTTATTCATGATTTTTAATATCATTAACAAGAGGAAGTGGTAGAAAGACGGGATTTTCACCAGGATCAGTTTAATAACAATGATGCGAATAAAAGTAAAATATAGAGGTTAATAAATAAATAGGATAAATAGACATTAAAACAAAGAATAAATGATTGTGAACACTGGAAATGACTTATTAAAATGTTACCTTTGAATGAAGCAAACGTAAAACAATGTCAGAGTGAGTTGAAGAGTGTTTATAAACTTGATCCTGTCTTTGTGATTGCATCAATCCCTTCATAACCTTAATACTGCTTTGGGTAATAAGGAGGCCAAAAGCAGATTTAGAAAGTATGCATTTGAACTCCCACCCACAATTTCATTTTTTTTTCTTTTCTTACTTCTTCCATATCCTGCAGCTGAATAGATTTTTTTTCAGAAATTGATTTGTCACTCAAGCAATCCGAATTTCTTAGTAGTCAATTGAAGAGAGAGCTAATTATTTAAAGTAATTATAGTAATAATAGTGATTAATATTACGAGAATATCAGAAATATTTACATATTCTTAATTTCATTAGTGAGACCTAGTGGACAGAAAAGGCGTTAGTTTGACAACTACCAGATGGTAGCATTAGGATTGGAAATATTGTTACGTGTCCTTTTGTTAAATATTTCATTTGATTGCAGAGCAGAATTCTAAAAATATTTAATGAACATATTAATATGTAATCATCAGATATTGTTAGAGGAAAAAAATCATATTCATCATGAATATTTTAATTAAACCCCTGATAATTTAATGTTCATTTTCAGTAATTCATTAAATGTATCATTATTTGATAAGCTTAAATAGAAAGTAATGTTACTGTGACATTTTAATGCTATTGGGTACACTACAAATTAAAAACATGACCAACATTAAATATTAAACCAAATTAATAAAATAGTTAAGTCCATACAGACATAAAATAAAGACGTAGGTATCTAATAGAAAAATAAAATTAACATGTTGAAAAAAATATATAATACAAACTGTTGTAGACAGAAAAACTTGGTAAATTTTCCAAAAGTATTTTTTTTCATTTAATTTTTAAAGTTAGAAGATAACCAATATAATAGCAAAATACTGAATAAAGATGATCACTGGGTGAAAAAATAGTTTTTGTAGATAATTAAAAAAAAAATTGTATATCAAGTAAGAAAAATCAATTTTTATTTTTTCCAAATAATCATCAATGATTAATTTCAAATTAGCCAACCATAAGTTTCAGTAATCTGGACAGATTGGAGAGAAAAGAAAAATACACAGTAGCCATGGCAAGATCAGCTACTAAATACTCTTATTAACATTCTGTCCTCATCACAAGCAATTATTTTTCATCCAAGTAATTTATATGTAGACAAATTTCACTGCAAGAGAGCAGTGGAAGTTAAAAAAAAAATATTTGTACATTTATTTTTTGAGTAAAAATACTTAAGCCATTTTTGTGTAATATTTTGATCTTCAAAACCACAAATGTGTATATCACTGTTTTTCATGATGGATTCTTGCTAAATTTAAAATCCGCACATTTCCCTATACACCAGCATTTTCTCTTTTATTTTCAATATTTCTATTAGACTCTGCCACAATGAAAGTGTGAGAATAGAGCTACATTAAGAAACATTTAAAATTTAATAAGCTTATAAATAAATAACATTTTTAATAGTTAATCCTTTATTAAATAACCATTCTACAACAAATAGCAAAAGAAAAAGTAAATTAATGAAGAAAGTTTAACAAACTAATTCATGTGAAAAATTCCAAAAATATGATGTCAAACAATCTTGATTAATTTGAATAAAATATTTTTAAGCAGTTGATTGAAATATATGGAAATGTTTTATTTGTATTTGTGGATAAATATGAGAAATGCAAAATCCGAATTTAAATGTTTGCCTCCAAATTATTCATAATTATTGCATAATTGAGACTTAAATAAAAAAAAAATCAAAGTGATGTAATTTCTGCAATTAATTGCATTAACACTTGTAATAGAACACATTTGAATGAGGAAAAGAAGATGAGAATGAATTTGAAAAAAAATGCTTGTTACAAACAATGTTCAGCTTTGTAGTCAGCTATATTACATATTTTGATCATAGATCTCCACATAATCTATAAATGTGACATATAGGAGTTAACTGGAATTTTTAACCGAGCCAGATATCAGTGCTACAAGAATCTAAAGCAGTCCCTTTCATGGCATCTACGCAGAAATTTATCTATATATAATAATGATAGATATATATGGTCATTTTAGGTAGAGCCACTGGCACTTCTCACAATAGAGACATATCCATCATGAGAAGCTAATAGTTGATAGTTGAAGAGTTGCCAATCTACAGATGACATAAAAAGTATTGTTCAATTGGTTAGAATTCAGTTTTCCTCCTTTCAGACTGGTTGTTAAAGCCATTTAGATAGGCACTTCCCATGATAAAAGCATATCCATCATGAGGAACTAAAGGATAATAGTTGAAGGGTTGCCACTCTGCAAACAATGTCAAAAGTATGTCCAATTGGTTTGAATTCAGAGTTTTCCTTCTCTTAGACTGGCTACACTCCAAGGTTAGAGATCCCACCCTGCCCTGTTATTTAACCCATAGCTGGAAGGAGAAGAGATTGATTAATGCTTTCTTAAAAGCATTAGTATAAAGTGAATGTAACAGTCTATCAGAATATGAACTCAGCTCACCAATTAGACTTTTTTGCACTGATAGCAGTTACATTTCCTGCACATCCATATAGATAAGTAATGTTAATTATCGATTTTATTAGAGTATCACTGAACTGCTATAGTAAAAGTTGCTTTTTATATGGTAAAATTAAGTTACCGCATCTATTCTATTATACAGTAGCTTGAAACAGTATATATCATTTGAGAAAAAATAAGGACCTCTTCATAGAAGCAAAATTAGACTACAATTCAGTTCTTTGATTAGAAATTTTAAGTACAGTTAAAGATAAACTGATAAATAATTTAAAAAAGAAAAGAAAAAAAGAAATACACAAATTCCAGTAATATAATTCCATCATTCTAACATGTAAAAAATGAACAACTAAAGCATATCACAAAATACATATACAGAAAAAAAAAAAGAAAAAAAAATATATATTTAGCTTACAATAAATATTAAGAGAGCCCAGTAGTTTTATGGGAACGTGGACCTTTACATCTGCACATCAAATATATTAGCTAATATCACCTAAATTAGTCAATGAAATTCAAACCAAAGACTAGAGTCTACAGCTCAAACTACATCTTCAATGTCAACCAGTTTGTTTGGTACTTTTACGAAATCAGATTTTTAAGAAATAAATAAACATTTACATATTAGAAATATCAACAAAGGAGTTGTTTATCACAATGCTGTCATCAAACCCAAACAACATTAACTGACCAAAATATGAAGTGTTCAAAAATGGTGAAAGAAGAAAAAACAGATTGTATCAAGGAGACTAAGAAAAAGAAACAATACAGAACAACAAAAGCTTCTCTGTGAAATAACTTTCAGCTAAGAATGAAAACCAATACATTAAGCTTGTTTAGTATAAGCAAGACCCAAACAGGCAAGAAAATTCTAAGAAATTGAAGTTTCAGCAAAAATATTTGAGGAGATTGTGAGTAGAGAACCATAAAGAAGTAATGTTCAAAAGATGAGACCAAGGGCAGTTGTTTTTCTTTGAGAATTGTATTCATTCTAGAATTCCTGAAATATTAGAAATTTTAAAACATTTGTTACATTTTTCTAAATGTTTAAGATAACAGCATTTTAAAAATGGTTAATATTCAATTTCCCTTTGATGAAGGTGAAAATAAAAGAATTAAAAAGAAAAAAGCGATACTCAGTAGATTGTTAGTTTTAATAGAAACTTTCTTTCATTTGTCTTCATATTTCAACTAACCAAAATATTACAATGAAAAATGTTGAGGGACTTGCATTTTGAATAAAATTAAAAAGGATTGTAACAAGTTGCAAAAGTCATTGCCCATTTGTTACTCAGTATCCTTAAGAGTTTTCAATTGACAAACAATAGGAATTTGAAAAAACTGACATGTACCAGTTTAAAAAATCAGCCTTTTCATAATGGCATGACCGCAAAACATAAAAGGGTCCATGTTCTTATAGAGTTTGCAAAACATGGTTTTAATGCAAGTAAATAAAAATCTTTGAAACTTTCAAAAAACTCTGAAAGCAAAATTGCAATGAATTAGTTACAGTGCTCATTTCCATTAATGGCAGCAACTTACAGCAATCATGACTGTACCATTACAAAGGGTTGATGCCAACCATATGTCCAACTCTGTGCAGCCACTGAGCTAATGCATCATTCAGTCTTTGTTCATGTGAATGGCAAACTAGTTGGTTGATACAATTAAATACGGTGGGTAGCAATGCATAGAATTTTGAATCTGGAAGTTCTTGAAACAGTCGAAGAATGGCACATAGTAATTCTGTCCAGGATTTTAAATGTGCTTCACTGTCCTAAAAAAGAAAAAAAATGATTGAGTGGAAATGAATTAAATCAGAAAAAATTGATAAAAAAAGAAAAGAAAAAAGTGTCTTCTATTACAAACATCCAAAATTAGTCTTAACTGATATTAATTAACCTTTTCAGTAGAAAACAAATATAAAAAAAATCTACTCTTGATAATTTTTCATGAGAAAGTAAGAAAAAAATCTTTAAAATCACTGAGTAACAAAAATTATATATATATCTAAAATTTTCTTTACTTATGAAGAGTGCTGAATATTGTGTAACAGGGCAGTGACCCTGATGAAATCATAATAATGCATGAAATGCTGTTTAGTGACTTGAGAGAGAGTTAAGAATTCTAAATGAAGGAATAAGTGGATAAAATATAGATTAGTTGATCAGATTGAAACCTAATGGAAGAAGTTTCTTGACATGCACTTTACAGAACACTGCTGGCAAGCAAAACAAGAACTTGTGAATAATCTACTGCTCTGGACACCTAGTCATGGCGCAAGATGGGTTGATTACCCAGCAATCACCTACATTGACCAACTATGTTATGACAGAGAATGCCACTCTAATGACCTTCTGACCTTGATGCAGAACCATGATGGTTAGTGTGATAGACTTGTAAATATCTGAGCTAGCTCAACTAAATAAATAAATATAAAATACTTATTAGGAAGGCATTGGTTGGATTTGAATTCAGTAAATTTAGTACAAGTGAATTTTATCTACCCCACTTGTAATGACAAGATTAATGTGTTTACCAAAATTTTGTAAAACACAGTCATATCTCGGAAGTGTTTATTTAGTGAACTGGTCAGCCAAATTTACATTGATTCTTACCAAAAGGTCTGAACCCAGAATCTGACCATAGGCAATTTTAGACAGGCCAGATCAAAGTTACTTTTGAATATAGCTATGTGCATTCTGAACAGGAATTTTTTTGGTGGAGAGCTAATATTCATCAATGTTATTCCCCTGGACAAATATATATATATATATAAATCAGATTCTGTGGTCACTTACTTAATGCCTAAGAATTGTTCATTGCACCCAGAGAGGATGCTGTCTTTCTATTCTTCTCTCAAGATGAAAGGTTCTCCAACATACAGACAACTTATAACCTTGCTGTTAATTTTCCCAACATCTCAAGATCTTTGTACAAAACCAATCAAAGGTGATTGTAACCTTTGACAGTCTATGGTATTAAATTGTTGGCAGTTTTTACATTGATGTTTATTCTTTCTACCTATAATCATTTTGTCTTTTGAGAAAATCTTCAGTCAAGAAAAACAAGGTCTGCTAGAATGTATCTGAAGAATTCTTCAATGATCCCATCCTTTAGAGTAAAGAATAATAAAAAAAACTACACCTGAAGACTAGTGATGGCTGGAAATACCGACGCCTGCAACACATTACAATTCACTGAGTATTTGGTGCTTATCATTATAAGAGGTAGTATTTGGTACTGTGACTGAGTTGTAGCTATACATTTGGAGTGTGGACATAGGAACCAACATTTCATAAGTGGCAGAACATTCAGAAACAAAGAAAAAGTTGAAAAACAATCTTTCAAACCTTTACCTTCCTGTTGAAAATTAAGGTGATCACATTTTTGATAAATAACATTTGATTAAATTTTTAGTCACATTTTTTTTGTTACATTCTTTCTGTTAAAATGAAATTATTTTCTGAACACCCTAAAATAATTACTGAAATCCTCACTGTCTACTTTTCTTAGAAATTCTCTAAAATTGCTCCATAAGTACAGGATGTGGCTGAAATATCGCCCACATTTTAAATTGTCACCTGTGTGGTGTTAATGAACTTAGTCAAGTGGTAATGGTGTTTCCATTGAGCTTCACATTTTAACATTTTTTTTTTTTTTTTTTTTTTTTAGATACCATCATCAACTTAAACCTGTGCACATCATGCATTTACTGCTGAAACGTTTTTAAGACTGCTGAATCTTAATTGCAACACAGGGAGCTTTTTTGTGTTCATTTCATGTTATGTCAGAATGATGCTGTTCCAGATATAGAAAATCTATACCATTATGGGTTGAAAATTTCAGGGCCACAGGTTCAGCAGTTAAAAGAAAACCACCTCAAAGACTTCAAAGCACTTGAGCGTCTGGATGATGGAAAACTTTAGAAATCGTCTACAACAGTGTATGGTGAAAAAGGTTTCTTATATTCAGTCATTTGGAAGATATGTTTAAAACTAAATGAATAAAAACTGTAGCCTTTTGTTTAAACAGTGAAATAATTTTTTTTTCTTAGTCTTTTGATAACATTTAAAATGTGGGAGGTAGTTCTGCTGCACCCTGTATTTAAAAATTCAAATATATTTTCTAAAAATGTATCTTCTTGACTCTGAGTACAGTTTAAACTGAAGGACTTTAGTACTCACCTTCATGATAGATACTTTTTGCTGTTTTTCAATTTCATAGTCTACCGGTTCTCGCTGTTTGAAAACCTGCGCTGTGTTGGCTTTGTTATTTGGAACTTTGCCTGCTTTAACAAAAGTAGGCATTGAGTGTTGCTGTTTACGTTTCTTATATTCAGTCATTAAATTCTTTATAAGTTTGTCTGTTGCCACTGTATAAACTCGACTTTCCTTTTCAGCTCGTTTTTCTTTCTTGCTTTTTAGATCAGATGGATTGATTGAATAATCCTCTTTGGGGTTAGTTATTGTGCCTGCTACTGATTCATTATCATCTGTTGGAGCTACATCATCTGTTTGTACCACCTGGCCTACAAGAAAGAAAAAATATAACAAGATGGAAGCATGTTACTGAGTAACAAAAAGTATTAAGTTGTTACATATATTTGTTTGTTTTTTTTTTTTGATGTTCTGTGAATGATCTTGATGAATAATCTTTCGTAGCATTTTTTGCTTCTTAGTAACTCTGGTCATATTGTGAAACTGCTGTTTAAAGTTATTGAAATTAGACACCTCTTTGAGATGGAATGCCAAGTAGAGAAAAATGAGCATGTTTGATATTTTCTTCTCTTTGCTTTTAATCAAGGTAACAATGCTGACAAGCCTACTTGCAATATTTGTGCTGTGTATAGAGAAGAAATGCTTCGAATCAACTAAATGGTCAATGCTAAGCTGTATGTTGAACAAATGAACAGGCTCAAGGAGACAATTCAGCTGAAAAAAAACCTGATTGGTGATACAGTGCAATTATTCAACAGTTACAAGTCCTACTATTTAACTCATAGCTGGGGGAGGAGAGGGGAGATGGATTCATACCACTCTCAAGGTTTGGTTTGTTTTACAGCATATCAACCTCAATAGGTTATTTAATTTTGACAAGATTTTTGTTGCTGGTAATTTTTTTTCAAAATTTATTGCTGGTATTAAAATCTATTTTTACACTTTCATAGTGTTTGGACCCTAGTTTGGAGGTTAACTATTTACTTATAGCTGGGATATAACAGGTGCTAACACCCAGGTCAGGGTGGACCTGGAATACAGGCAATTAAGAGGTGTTTCCATGCTCCTCAAAACCTCCTGATCAGAGGCCTTGCTGTTGGATGCAGTTTATTGTCTTACCCAGAACAACCACTCTATTAGATGCAAATACTATCAAGAGTATTTGCACCCAAGTGGATGTAATGAGCCTATTTCGAGCCACTATTACATCATCCACACATCATAATATTTACAAAATGTTTAAGTGACACTGAGGCCATGAAGTGGTCAAAAGTTTATTATGAGCTTGAAAAGCTAGGAAAGGGTTAAGCCTAAATGTAATAGCTAGATGATAGAGGGAGAGAGAGAGAGAGGTTGGAGACATTTTCTTGGTGATGTGAAAGTGGAAAGAGGCCATCTGGCTCTCATCTCCTTGTTAACAATACACTCAAAAGTTTTTTTTTATCCATCGAGAATCTGGCATGCAGGTTAAACAAACTGAAGAATAATTTTATCTCTTCCTTGAGGAATTAAGAAAACACATATTGTTGATAAGGAGAGATATAGACATGGCTTATGTTTTCACTGGTGAAAAGAAATTGGGAAATTTAAATAAAAAAACATGAAACCTTTTGAGAGTCAAAGTTATGAAAACTGATCCTGTCATTGATGAGCAGGTAATCTTGTTTATATTTTCGTTGAACAGAGAGAAGTCTAGGAATTGAGAAATAAATTCATTTTGTTCTTGAGAATTTAAGTAAACAAATATCATTAGCAGGAGAGAGATTGATTTGGATTATAATTTTTGTAGATTAAAAATTGGGAAATAATTTTATCTCTTGTCTGGAAGATTAAATGAAAATGAACTTCTCTTAATGGGTCAGATATATGATGAAGGCAGGAGTTAGGAAAACAAGTCCTGTCATCAGTGGTCTGGGTTGTATTTTTGCAGACAAAAACAAATAGGGAAATAATTTTATCTTTCACTGGGAAATTTAAGAATTAACTTTTTTCTTGATGATCAAATATACAATAAGGTGGAAGTTATGGAAACAAGTCCTGTCATCAGTGGACTGGTTTATATTTTTGTGAGACAAAGATAATTCCAGAAAATTAGAAAGAACCAAAGTTTTATTAAAATTTATGAATATGGTATGAAGTGATTTGTTGAATTCAATAGATTTTTCAATTAGTTGTTGTAATGCAAAAATTGATCCAATGTCTGGTGGTAATGGGGAGATTAGTTGTTATTATACAGGAAACATTCAATTGTCATTGACCACACAGCATTATTGTTAGTTGAAATTTATAAAATCACTGTTATTGCTTTTTCTAGCTTCAATGGAAGTTTCTTTCCTCACTATGTGTTTAAAGTAGTGTGGAAAATCATTATTTATCATTTATTCCTTCTAGTTACCTGAACTACCCATTTTAATTGTTGCTGCTGTTGGAAGCCTTCAAGTGATGTAATTTTTTGTTTTTTGGTAAAGTTCTTAGTTGATAAGATGATTAAGACCTAGAGGAGTCATTTGCTTGAAACCATTTGTAACCATTGATTTGAGAAAATAGTTGTCTATAGCTGATAGTTTAAACATTTCTGAATAAGTTGGATACCATTCATGACATCCATATAAGAGTCTCAATCTGATGAAGCTATTTAAGAACATGAATTGAGTTCTTAGACTAATGTTTTGGTTTTGTAGCATCAATTGTGATGGTAGTAAGCATGAGCAGGGGTGGTTTATGTGGTTATTAATAAGTGATATAAAGAGTTTATAGATATGCATAAATATGGCTAAATAAGCTTATTGGATGGTAGATTTTGCAATCAGATCTATCATCTTCCTTATAAATGATCATAATTATGACTTTTTAAAAAAAATTTTGAGGAATTTTTTTGCTTAATATTTGGCTAATTTTAGTCTAGAGGATAAACAAGAATAAAACAGCAGAAGTAAATAACTAATTTTTTCATCTGTTTATGGTTTAGGTATGTGTATATACTGCAAGAAGCAGCTATGTTTTAGTTCATGTGTATAATCTAACTGCGAAATCTACATTAAATGTTGATACACATGATTAACTAGTGGGCTGCTTGTTTCCAAGTATGCCCATCTAAGACGGATAATTAATCCCTGTTGCAGATGCCTGCTCAGGCACATTTTGTACTTCTTCAATAGTTACGGAGCCAACCTATGGTTTGTACTGCAACTATGCTGGGCAGACCTCAGTTAAAATTTCTGGAAAAAATATATAATCATGGCACAATCAGCAGTTAGACCAGGCCAGTATGCTCAAGCTTTCAGTCACAATGGCTTTTGACTTCATATTAGCACAAGCATCAACAACTTCTGAACAGTTTCATCCACAAGTCTTAGGTCAACTCATGGTAAGGTTTTCAGTCATGTTTCAATGATGCTACATGCTGGGATGATTTTCTCCAGGCTGATATTATCAAGAAGTGACCTACTTAACAAATAAACCCTGCTGAGATTTGCATCCAAGTCTCATGGTTGGAATTCTAATGTCCTGACTCCTTGTTCACTGATAAATTGTAATTTATATGGTGTGATCATTGAATGGTTTGGTAACAGTTAATGCAAATATTCTAATGTTACAGTTTACAGCCAGTTACTTTTTGTTTTATTTTCTGGAATATTAGAATGTTAGAGAAACTATTTCTTTTATTTGGTTTAGAATGTAAAATATCCATATTAAACCTTTAGCACTCTGCATTATTCATATTGTGTTACTTTCCTTCTTCTGCAGTCACCTTGATCTCAATTTCAATCAAAGTCAATCCTGCTGTTGCTATAGCAAGATATAACAATTGCAAAATTCAAACACACTATCTTTCAATGGTCAGAGACACCTGCAGATGTAGGACAGACTTTTTGCTTGGTGAATAAAGTCACCTGTATAGTGTTAAAAGTTTTAAAATAATAACAAACTGTAGTGAAAAAAAAAAAAAAAATTAAATGTAAATAGTAATTCTTAGTATTCCTTCTTTAAAATAATGCAGTTGAGTTTTTATGACAATTTCCAGCTTCTCTTTTGAACAAAGTAAAATTGAATCATAGGTTTATTTAATTACCATATTATGCATAGAGAAAAGAAAAGAGAATAGAGAAAAAAGAGAAAAGAAAAGAGAATAGAGAAAAAAGAGGAAAGAAAAGAGAATAGAGAAAAAAAAGAAAAAGAAAAAAAAGAAAAAGAAAAGAAAAAAGAGGAAAGAAAAGAGAAAAAGAGGAAAGAAAAAAGAATATAGAAAAAGAGGAAAGAAAAAGAGAATAGAGAAAAAAGAGGAAAGAAAAGAGAATAGAGAAAAAAGAGAAAAGAAAAGAGAATAGAGAAAAAAAAGAAAAGAAAAGAGAATAGAGAAAAAAAAGAAAAGAAAAGAGAATAGAGAAAAAAAAGAAAAGAAAATAGAGAAAAAAGAGGAAAGAAAAGAGAATAGAGAAAAAGAGGAAAGAAAAGAGAATAGAGAAAAAAGAGAAAAGAAAAGAGAATAGAGAAAAAAGAGAAAAGAAAAGAGAAAAAAGAGAAAAGAAAAGAGAATAGAGAAAAAAAGAAAAGAGAATAGAGAAAAAAGAGAAAAGAAAAGAGAATAGAGAAAAAAGAGAAAAGAAAAGAGAATAGAGAAAAAAGAGAAAAGAAAAGAGAATAGAGAAAAAAGAGGAAAGAAAAGAGAATAGAGAAAAAAAAGAAAAGAAAAGAGAATAGAGAAAAAAAAGAAAAGAAAAGAGAATAGAGAAAAAAGAGGAAAGAAAAGAGAATAGAGAAAAAAGAGGAAAGAAAAGAGAATAGAGAAAAAAGAGGAAAGAAAAGAGAATAGAGAAAAAAGAGAAAAGAAAAGAGAATAGAGAAAAAGAGGAAAGAAAAGAATAAAAAAAAAAGGAAAAAAAAGAAAAAGAAAAAGAGGAAAGAAAAAAATAGAGAAAAGAGGAAAGAAAAGAGAATAGAGAAAAAAGAGAAAAGAAAAGAGAATAGAGAAAAAAAAGAAAAGAAAAGAGAATAGAGAAAAAAGAGAAAAGAAAAAGAGAAAAGAAGATTTGGTGAGAATTTTAAAAAATAATTTGCTTAATTAACAGATATCAGATAGTATTTGCATTTTTTTGGTCTGTCATTTGTCATTGGCATATATTTGGGCTTTCTTCTTTATTGTCTCATTCTTTTCTTTTATTCACACCATCTTTACGTCATGTAGGACACATCTATTGACATAAAGCACTAGCAACACCAATCTGAAGAAAAATACCTATTAATTAAAACCGAAACTAAAAAAAAGAAAATAGTAAAAAACAATTCATTAGGTAAAATAACAGTTGTATTACCTTCAACAGACTGTAGATTTACAGGAGCAGAAGTTGGATAAATATTGTTGTTTTCTTGAGACGATGTTGATGACAACTGCTTGCTTTCTGTTCCATTAGAGCCAGTAATATCACAAAGATCATCAGCTTGAGCTATCAAGAAGACAAGTGGTTGCTCTGAGAGACGATCAACACAAGTGGTTGTCTCTTCATCCAATGTCATATCCACATACGTCTGGCACAGTTCATCACAAATGTTCTGCAGAAGAAACAAGAAAATATCCATATTGTCAGTTATGCTGGACATCATTGTACTGGCATGTTGAATGCATGTCTGTTGATCATTCATGGAAGAAGTGGACACCTGTTTCAATGACTGTCGGATGCCTTCCAGTTTGAGGGTGTTAATGTTGGAAGAGATTTCAATGAGAGTGTGGATGTAAAATACCATGCTTGCACCAGCCTGCTTGTAGAGATTTGCAGCAACACTTGTCTGGGCCACTTTTTGGATGAGAAACTTGAGACCAGGACGGGAATCAAAATCACAAGCAATCTGGTAAGATACATACAAACAATCCAAAATTTTGGCAATGTTTCTTGTGGACAGGTAGGGCAGCATCCCTGCAATAAAAAAAAGCAAATGGCTAGCAAATACATCAAGTGTTATTAAGAATTTCCTACTTTTACATTAAATCTTTGTGGAAGAGAAATAAGCCAATTGGGCAAGAGAGTTTGGATAAGTCGTGTCTGATGTGGTGAGAGGTAATTGTTTTTCTTTAGTTCACTCCAATAGATGGTGCTTACCACCAAATGTGTTGTATCTTCTTGATGAGCACCATTTGGGGAAACCTGTGACTAGGTAGCACTACTGATGCATTTGAATAAGTGATTGTGCTAATTAATTTGTATATCATAGATGTGGAGTGACTATAAGTATTGAACAGTGAATGCAGGCAGGGTTGTTATTTTCATTTTGGTCTTATTAACACTGTGTGAATAGAAGGTAGACGACTTTGTGAGTTGGGGTGTAATGAGTCTTTGTTGGTATGCGAGTCTTTGAAGAACTACCAGTGTAGACAATTGCAACAGCAGCAATCTTAATAAAAATAAAAAAAAATGTGTAATGTCTTTGTATACAATTTATTTTACTTTTTCCATTAGTAAAATGGATTTTAAGCTCAATCTTTTACATTAAAACAGAACAAGCAATAAATAAATGAATGTGTAATGACTTAATATAATGGCTGGTGTGTTTGTTTTGTGAAATGAAATCCAGATCAGTATAGGAACACGCAGTAGCAGGAATCTCTAATAACTGACAGAATAATAATAATAAAAAAAAATCTCATTTCATCTATGAAAAACTTGATGATGTAAACTGATTTTTTAGGTTACTAAAAGGAAGTAGGAAAGACTTTGATTGGTTAAAAATTGAGATTCCATCTATTTGAAACTTTTGCTTACTTTCTGGGCAGAGGCCAAATTTTATCAGTGAGGACTCTGTATCTGAAGTTTTCACATTTGGCTGTTGCTACTACTACTACTACTACTATTTCAGCTATGCTGCCCATTCTATGTCTATATGTTGTGGTAATTTGTTAAAGATGTATGCTTTTTATGTTTGCTAAGATTAATATACCAATATACAAGGTGATATTAGAAAGTTGCTGGATTTGGTCTTAAAATGTACACTTATTCCAGTAAATATATTTCATACATTATTTAAATTTGGCCACCATCTGCTTTGAATCAGTCTTCTTGGGAGCATACATACATGTTTACAGCAACATCAGTTTGAAACACTGGTTCTTGTCTTATCACTGATGTTACGCAATATTGAACCAATACTCCTTTGGCCTTGAAAGGTCACAAAACTTACCTGGAGTTGGTTGAGAGGTAAGAGAGAGTGAGTATATGCAGCAATCATAGGGCCTCTTCTATGCCTCTATAGTAACAAGTCTTCTTCCTGAAAGCCATTCAATACTACTTAGGATTCTGTTTGCATTTCATCCAAAGTCTCAAAGTGGTACCAACTTTAATTTTAATTTCAGGATGAGTTCAATTTTTGGCACATTTTCTGGCATTTTGTTGGTGACTGGTTGCTTTCAGCACTCATCTTGAATCAACCTTGAAATGTACATGGCACTCAAAAACCTGTCTGACCTAAAGAATGTGTGTCAAAAGCCAAAAGAAGTGTTTCAAGAGTCTTGCGAGCATATTTACGAAGCTTCATGTTGCTCAAATTTATCAGCCTTTGTAAAGCTTACAGAGCTGTTCCAACACCACCTCACATAATAATTGAACATTACTAGATAGTACAAAGCCTATTGGCAAAGTGACTCAATAGGCTAGGTATCATTGCTACATGCACATTTCTGCCGAATTGTACAATCACAACACATACAGTCCAGGAACTTTCTAATACCAACTTATGTCTCAAATCATAAAATATTTTCTTATTGACTATCAATTTGATTAAATGGTATATCAACTCCTTATGGGTAATTTAATGCCAAAATTTAATATTTCTGGTAACTTTGAAATAATAAAAATATGATATATATCATTCTGCTTTCACAATTGAATACATGGTAGATGATACTCAGCTTTTATGTATATACATATTTGTGCTGACATAATTACTAGAGGCAGTTGTTCGGTTGACTTTGTTTTGCAGCATACTTTATGGCTTATTTAATGCCAAAATTTAAATATTTTAAAACGCAATTTTACGAATTCAACTACAGATAAAAAGTATTGTTGGTCATTTTGTTATAAAATGTATTGCTGGTCATTTTACTTTAAATATGTATTGTTGGTCATTTTACAATAAATATGTATTGTTGGTCATTTTACAATAAATATGTATTGCTGGTATTTTTACTATAAAAATGTATTTTTTATAATTTCATAGTGTGTTGTTTTTTGTTGGGGGGAGGGGGTTCACTATTTGCCTATATCTGGGACCATGACAAGTGCTACCACTCTGGGTCAGAGTGAAACAGGGAACAACAGCAATTAAGAGGTAATTCTTTGCTCCTTAAAACCTCCAACCTCCCAATCAGAGGCCTTGTTGCTGGATGTAGTTTATCACCATACCCAGGACTGATTGACTATCAAAATTTCAGTATATTTACCAGGTAGTCGGCTTGGAATATCTTCTTGGTTATCAGTATTTGGTGCAGAACTGTTGCAAGAGTCTTCTGCTTCTGGAATGCTTGGAGTTTGCAACAAGACACAGCCCATAGTTTGTAGTAAAAGTTGATGGGACAAGAGTCCTACAACTAAATTTCTGAATGGAACTCTGAATAAAATAAGACAGGATATGTATAAAAACATTAAATATATACACAGGTTTATATATTTTAATAAACAAAGATAATGCTTGTAAATAAAGCATAGCTTCAGAGTTTGAAATATCTTTGAGGGAGTGCTGAAAACTTGTCAACCCAACCCATTTCTCAAAAATCAATACTCTGATGTTTTCTCAGTGAAATACTGATTTTGTGAAGTGGGTTCAGTTTAGAACATCTCCCTTGTAGACTACACATATTTTAAAGATTTATTTTAAATTTAATATTTTACAAGCAATGGCATAAAAAAAAAAATCAACTGAAAGAACCCATTCTGCTATCCATTAGCACGGCTGATGCAAACCTCCAGTAGAGTGACTCGTTGCACCTTCTTAGGCTAACTTTTTCAACTGCAATGAAGTGGAAAGACTATAGTGAATCCATTCCCAAGTCAGTTGCTAAGAAAATTGGTTCACTGTTTCATGCTAGATAATTTTTCTCTCTAGAATCTTTCTTACATATCTATAAGTCTATCATTCATCCATGCTTAGAATATTACTGTCACATAGGGGTTGATGCCCCTGCTATATATTTAGAGATTCTTGATAAAATCCAAAAAAAGAATCTGCAATATCATTGGTTCTGAACAGGTGTTTTGGCTTCAGTCACTTTCCCACCACCGTAAAGTTTCTTCCCTGTGCCATTTCTGTAAATACTTTCATAGTAATTCTGATGAGCTCTTCACAGTGGTACCTAGACTTTATGAATTCAAATGCAGTGTTAGACTGGCAATGAGATCTCATCAATTTACAGTTGAATTGGCTAGATATAACCATAAGTTCTATGCTAACAGTTTCTTTTCTCGCATTTCCCACTTGTAAAACTCTCTTCTGGGCACCATACTTTCCAGTCAACTTTCATATTTAAAAATTGAAATGCAATGTGATTTGCTATCAGCTGTCCTCCTGGTTACTCTTCTATTGTTCTCTCTTCTAAGTAATGTTTGTTTTCTAATTTTTCCACACCAAGTAACCCATTGTTGCATTCTATCATATACATCAACACCAGTGATAAAAGTTGCTTCTCTATAATCAAAACCAAGCAAAATGAAAATGCCACTCACTGAAAAAGGAAAATGATTACCTGAAAAAGTTTTGCTGTGTGTGGTGAGATATGAATGATGTCATTTATCATGGAGTGCTAAACAATATGAAACAGTTAATGCTGAGATGTATCATTGTCAATTGGAAGAACTGCATAAAGATTTGCAGAGAAAGTGCCTCTCACTGGTTAATCCTAAAGGCATGTTGCATTTTTTTTTAATCAATTTATCCCAAGCAAAGTTATAATGCCACTAAGATGCAAGGAGCTACTGGGAGGGAAAGAGAGTGAGAAGACTTTAGAAGAACTGGAAACCTAATCTTAAACAGGAAACAAGGAACAAACCTCTACTTTTGTTAAAAAGATTAGGTTGCAATGTGAACCGGATGATATGCAAATCTATCTACTTTTATTATTACATGATAATGCAAGACCACATATTGCTTGGGTCACCCAAGAAAAGATTATAGCACTAAACAGAGAAGTTATGCCTCATCCTCCTTATTCTCCAGATCTTGCTCCATTGACTATCATCTCTTCAGATCATCACAACATGTTTTAGAGGGAAAACTGTTTATTCCATTTAATATTTGTGAAGAGGTTAAAACTGATATTGAATGTATTTTTGCATCAAAATCTGAAGAATTTTGTGTTCAAGGGATCAGTGAACTAATCAGCAATTTTCCAAACAGACCAGATTATTTTATCAATAACAAAGGGAAATATTATTGTAATTAAAAATTTCAATTAAGACCAAAGAAGCATTTGTTTCTTTTTCTGGTTCAAATGTGACAAGACATACTTTCCAATAGATGCTCATATGCCAAAGATTATTCTATCATTCTCACCAATATCTACAATATAATGTACCGACAACAGTTTCTATTAGTTAAAAGTTAAGCAGTGCTATCATTTCTTTATATTAAAACTGTTAGCTAACTGAGAATATTATGAGCCTATAGAAAAACTCAGCATTATATAGCACTTGACTTAACTTCCATTACTATAGTTTACTTAGGATTACTTACTGAGAGAAATTCTGACTGGATGACACTAGGATACATATTAGAGCTTGTTTGGAATACGATGGAAAAATAACTTACCTAGTAAGAAGATTATCAGGATTGTGATTATTTTCATGATTTGGTGGATACAGCAAAAATATATAAGATTTATCAGCCTCTGCACTGAAGCGATTGGTTGTCAAATTGGGTCCCTTTGATTGAATTTGACTATCCAGCAAAAAAACCTGGAAGTAGAAAATAATTTTTTGATTATAAAACTTGAAATCGCTTCTTTCTAGTGCAGAGTTGAATAAAATCAATTATTTCAGATAAACTTGTAGTAATATTGAAAATTTAATTAAAATAGCAAACATGAAAAGATTTCAGAGGCACACCAGAAAGACACATAAAAAGATTATCCATATATATCTCAAAATGTTAGGATCCAGGAGAAAATCACCAAAAATAAAATCTAAAATAAGATTAGAAATGTGCATATGTGAAGAAAACTGACAAGGTAGAAAAGAGATCACAATGTCTAAGAAGAGAATGTTCAACCAAATGTCATTGTTTTGCATAAATTCAAAAACCTTTGAGTTTGTATTTCCCAAAAACAAATGAGACTTTGCAACAGGTTGTGGTCAGTTAACTTGAAAATGCCAGCTTGTTGACAAATGTCAATGTGATTCCTGTTTCTCAAAGAGATAAGCAAAGGAGCTAGAGAAAAAAGTCCCATCAACAATTGAAACATATCAGCTTCTCTAAGTCAATATACTTTAAATGAATTTAATTGTTTTCTTTTAATTGTTTTAACTTTTTATAACCATTTCCCAAGCCTATAGAAATGTAAAAAAAATTAAAAGGAAATGGTTAAATTCATAATCTCTTGTTATTTAAATAATATATAATATTTAAATTTATTCCATAGTAAAATAATTTAAATATTATTTGCATTTAAAAAATTCAACATCATTTACTTTATTTGAGAAACTAACATTTTTATTTTTGTCTATAAATACTTGTGGTAAAATAAAATCATTACATTTGTCTTGATAAAGTCTGCCAGAGGACAAAATGCATTGGCTAAGATAATTTTTCCTTTTGTCTGTTGTGGTAGGTAACGCAACAACTCAACTGATGATAGCAGGTAGGAACAAAGAAAACCGGTGTTGCACGTCCAACCTTCTCACGAGCCGACAGCTCTCTGATTCGAAACAGCAAAACGAGCCTGCTTTATACAGCCGTGGACTGACCACGATTTGAGATTAAGATCACTCCTCACCCAGAATGTTTGTTCAAGTAAAAGGCATGAATTAGCCACTTGTTTGTAAGAAGTATTTTCTTTATTCTTTTCCCAAATAACACAAAATAAACTTTTTAATTGCAAAATTTTCATATAAAATTCAATTAAAACTTTTTATTCATATCTTTTTTTTGTAAAAGTAATTTAAAATTAACAGATGAGGAGTTTTTTTGATTAGATTAATTAATCATATTGCAAAAGTTATTCTTATTTAATGCTGTTCAAAAGCAGTATAAGGAATACAAATCAATAAAGTTACATAACATCGGATTAAAATCACATGTATAGCTTGTCTTACTTGCTGTGCAAGTTGATAGAGTCGTTCCAACTCCATTGGTGAACAATCTTTTCTTGTTGCCACTTTCACCTGCCCAATATCACCATAGAAATTTTCCGAGTTGGGATGAAACAGGATCATTATCTGACGGATGCTGTAAGTTGTTACATTCATGGCTTTCTCAAAGCTATCCACAGTTATCTGCCACATGCTTTCTGTAAATGAAGGACCTGCAGCCAATGCAACATGTCTGGAAGAAAGACACACATAGGATATTATACTATCAGAATGTTTATTCATTTGCTAATGTCATTAAACAGATGTGACACTGAGGCCATGAAAGGGTTAATATTAAGTATAAGCTGAGAGATGGAGAGAATGTATTTTTCCTGCTTATGGGAAGTAAAGGAGCCATCTGGGATGCCAAGAGTTCTTTTTTTTGTTTTAAATGTATCAAAAGCTGGCATGTGGCAAAACAAATTAAGAAATAATTTCATCTCTCCCTTGAGTATTTAAGAAAACAAATGTCATTAACAAGAGAGAGATAGATCTGGGTTATATTTTTGCAGATGAAAACGATTTGGGAAATAATTTTATCTCTCCCTTAGAAGGTTAAATGAGAATGTATAACTCTTCTTAAGAGTTGAATATATGTTAGGATGGAAGTTATGAAAACAAGACCTGTCATTAGCAGGAGAGAGAGTGATCTGGTTTATATTTTCACTGGACAGAGAAGTCCAGGAAAATAGAAAGGAACCAGAGAATTAAAATTAATGTTTAGAATAAAACACTGCCTTTTCACCTACACGCTTTAAAAATTAGATTCATCACAAAGACAGTTGTGCTTGCCCTGGGAGGGAGGCTGAGGTTGAATGTTGAAAAGGTAAGAGAAAGGAAAACTTGGTAAAACCTGTATGGAGTGACAGTGTGAAATGAAAAGTGAAACAAGTCGGAGTTGAGGGGAAGAGTAATCCCTGTGACTTCTCCCAACAAAGGTGGATAATTCTTCAAGTTTGAAAGTTAGTCAAGAAAGCAAAAATAGTGGACAAAGAACTCTTGTTGGGATTAATGCAATAATTGGAGAATCTTTGAATCCCTGAAACCCACAGTGGTTATGGACTGAAATGCATATAAGCAGGCAGTTTTGGGAGCTCAATGACTTCCACAGTGAATTCCTGCATCAGTGCCTCTGGAATCCACATCAGCTGACTGAAGAACTTTGAACCCAGCTCCTCCAGAATTTCTGACAAGTCCCAGTATCACTATAGATATTGATCTAGGAAGGGTTAATTTTTGTTGTTCCAAGAACTACATAAACCAATTGAAAATTAATCCAAATGATCCTTTTGTTTTTATTTTTTTTCCGTTTGTGAAAATATTTCTTCCTGTAATATAGCTCTTGCCACAGTTCAACTCTGTGCTTAGATTATTATGACATTTGATTTGTCACTGCTCTGGGATCAAAAACAATGTGGGCAGAGTGGGTGTGGATTGAAGTGGCTAGTGACCAACATCCAGCTTGAACCAGTGTTAGTATTGACCAGTGTGGCGTTAGCCCTATGGTTAACATTTCACCTTATGGCATTTACTTTTATTGGTTAAAATAATAGACAGCAAATAAATAAAATGCATTATCAATATATTTCAAGAATTCTTACAAAAATAATATCTAACAGGACTAAAATATTTAGGAAATTTTAAGCACTTCCAAATATTTTTTCTGTTAAATAATTTTATATGCAATTTTATTAGTAAATAAAAAAAAAATAAAAGTATGATTCTGTAGCATTTTGAGCTTTGAAAACTGAAACTTTGTAATTCACATATAATGCTCATATTATGTATGTTTACATTAAATAAGACAAAATTCAGATTTATAAAAAGATAGCCGACTAGACCTGATACAAGAACACCCAAGTCGAGAAATGGATTCGGCCGGTTGTGCTACACATTCAATGAGGACGATAAACAATTCTCTCAACATCAGTTCCATCATCTGGTGATGTTCAGTTTCTTCTGAAAAATGACAGGAAAATTTTGAAAATTTGAATTAAAAAATTTCCTTTGAATTTAGTAAAATTAATCATTTTCTTTTGTGATGTTTGATATTTTTGAATTGGCTGTAAATTAATCTGCTGAAATTAGTCTTGTTTGCTAAATCCCATATACAATCAATTGGAAAGACTCCAAATTATCATACCATAAAATAAGCATACAATTATTTTATGCAGCTTCACTTATTTAAGATTGGTCAAGTCAGCAAACTTATATACTGAAAACTTTTATAAAATTAAAAATAATAATATTTTGAAAATATTAAAAAGTCATCACATTGTGATATGAAAAGTGTAAATAAAAAGCATTTTGTTCATTAACTATTAATATCTTTTTGTCTAATTTCATTTTTACATATATTTAGTCAAATAGTTTTGTGAGTTGTATCCCCTCTTATCAAATGGGCCTACAAGTGGATATAATAAAAAACATTAATTTTATTCACTTCTCTGTTATAACTTCTCTGTCATAAAAGCGACTCAAGGTAGAGTTACTGAATGGGCATTAGAAGAGAATTAAAAAGTGCAGAGTATGGGGATATACAAAATAGATAATAGTTGACCCTAAATGAAGAGATTAAGACCATAGAATATGAAAAGAACAAGGATGTAGTGTGGTCATAGGCTATGAACTGGTGAAACTAAGGAATGTAGTTTTTTTCTGAACATTTGTGATAGAACTAGAGAAAGACTAGCAATGTTTCATCTGTGGGAAAAGAGTTGTAGAGTGAAAAATAGATACTGGCTTTAGATATAGGTTTAAAAAAGATCTCCAGATGTTCTGATTGGCATATATGGACTTTGAAAAGAAAAATCAAAGATTTTTTAAAACTAAAACTAAAGAGTTAGAAGTGGTTTATGCTGTATTAAATGCTAGACTACCCTTGTTTATACAACAAAAACAAAAAAAGGTATAGCAAACACATGCTTAGTTCTTGTACAAATGATTAAGTTTCTTTCGTTGGGAGAGATTTCCATTACTACTTAAGGAAGCATCACTTTATCTGAATTCTCTAGAGATACATACTTTTTACAACATTGATTAATTTGAAAAAGAAACCTAATTCTTTGTTCCCCTTCCTATCCTTTCTTCAATGAAATAAAAAACAAAAAAACAAACAAGAACTGTAAGCTGTATTTTGACAGTGTTAATTATTCTTTTATGTGCCATGTCCCTTCAGGATCATAACTCTCCACAACTTCCTATCCTTCATAGGTCTTAGCAATGTTTGCATTTTACTATCTCTCCCCATTCTACCATCCATTTACACAAACTTATTAGGTAGGTTATGCACTGCTCTTCTTTGTTCCTCTTGCCTTCAATGTCTTGTGAGTGTCGAATTTTTCAAGCCCTCTTTCTTCATTGTATCTTAAAAATTCCAACTGTCTCTTTTCTGATTATAAGCATTCATTTTGATTCCACCCTCCTTAAAACTTTGTCATTACTCAATTATGAGACAAATATCCTAAGTTTATGAAAATGAAGAATCTTTATATTGTATCAAACTTTTGAAATTATTACAGTTATTTATAACCCATTATTTGACTGATGCACAATGTAATGAGATTAATGATTATATCTGACCCTCTACAAAGGTAAAACATGATGCATGTTTTTTTTTTTTTTTGATATGAAGTAACATTTACACTCTCTCAATAATGCAAACCACTCAAGGTTGCAATTCATAGAGGTTATCCAAAATCACTCAGCCACTGCTTTACCTCTATTCCTATTGTCTTGGAGATAGATTCTCAGTTATGAAATCTCTGGTCTATTTTCAGCCTGCCTCTTCTGAAGTAAAGGGACAAAGGTTGATTGTTAGGGACAAACCAACTAGACTGGGTGGTTTCATCCAGGATATGATTGATTGCTTGATTTGCTTTCTACAGCTCGTCAAAACCATTTGCAGTTTATCTAAAGCCAGAAAATATTTTTAGATTGTAAGAAGTATTTTTTTTGTAGATAATAATGATTTAGTGATACAAGTTTCACTAATTAACCCACAGCTGGAAGGTAGCAGAGGTGGATTTATACCTTTCCCAAGGGTATTTGTGCATAAGTGAAATGAAACAAACCTAACTGGAATTGGAACTTGGCTCTCTAAGTAACAATTCTGAACCATTATCTATTACATCACCTGCACATTCAAGCTTACAGCAGCTGGTATTCCCAAGTTGTCATCCATCTAGGCACTGACCAAGCTTGATGTTGCTTGACTTTGGTGATTGTATGGGAACCAATATTTCAACATGATATGGCTGTATGCCCCAGAAAATTATGTGGTGTAAACATCTCTTCTGCTATTGCAAAGGTGCTTAACCTATACAGTGAAAATAGAGAATAGATGGTGGAGTGGGGTTTGGGGGTCTTAGCAAAGTGAGGAAAACTTTTAAGAGCCGCACAAAATAGGAAGTTGTGGAGAACCATGATCGTCTATGTTGTGCAAAAACATGGCACATAGAATAAAAAGATATCATCTCTATTGAAATTTAAAAGGGTAATTTATTTACCAGCAAATCTAGTAATCAGCTGTACAACTAAGTCTGTACTGAGTCCACAACACTGTTTGAAATTTGCTGATCCTGTATCACAAAATGTCTGATTGCGGAAACTTCTTCTCAGCCAAGTCTGAAGTGTTGGTAATAGGAGGTTATTTACACAGTACATGGTGAAGGAAGGGCCTGTTAAATAAAGGAAACAGTAAAAGTATAAACAAATATTTAAAATAAATAAATAAAAAGTGGGAAATCTCATTAATATGAAGAGTAGATAATGGATTACAATACAATGGTTCCTGCCTATCAATAGATTCACTTCCTGTGGTTTCAGTTAAACAGTCAATTTCAGAAACAAACAATTCATATGTTTTTACTTAATAATGGTCTCACAGTGGAAGAGTAAGAATGTTTGGATATGACAAAGAGAAACCTTTTCTTTAATGGGAAAAGTGAAAAGAGAAGCCTTATAGATAATTTATTCTATTCAGTTTTCATTATTTGGACTATTGTCCTCATCTTTGTTGCCATATTTATTACATTTCGGCCATTGTATGCTCCTGCCTTCTTCAGGTGGTTGGAATGTCAAACTGAACCCTTTATTTCGCTTGCTGGGGTAGACTGTTCTAGTTCCATGTTTAATGGATGTCAGTTATCAGTTATCTCCTGCTGTGGAGAACTTTCAGAGGGAAATTAACAGGAGATAACTGATAACTGACATCCATTAAACATGGCATGTGGAACTAGAACAGTCTACTCCAGTGAGTGAAATAAAGGGTTCAGTTTGACATTCCAACCACCTGAAGGAGGCCAGAGCATACAACGGCTGAAATGTTGTAATAAATATGGTGACAAAGATGAGAACAATAGTCCGAATAATGTAAATAATGTACATAATATCTAATCTCAGAAATATAGACAGATATTCAGTTTTCATAAAAATGGCTCAAATCAGCCATTCATGATTAAAACTGTTTCAACCATATAGAATATAGATAGAATGTGCAGATATGGCACTTCAACATGGTGTTAGAGTTAGCAAGCTTGTCTCATTAGATCAATTACAACTGAATAGTGAGTTTGATCCTCATGCTTTCGGACTTGTACCACATCTAAGCTATGCTTATAAAGTTACTATACAGTATGTGCAGTGTGGTGGAATGGATAACAACTAGGAAGGAGAATCAGAGGAACAGGTTTGAATTCCAGTCAGGCTTGTTCACATGTCCAAATACCCTTTGGAAAAGCATAACTTCATCTCTTCTTCCCACCAATTGTAGGTTGAAAAGCAGAACAGACTGATCCTTATAGCCTTGATTGGCAACCAGTCTACTGCAGAAAGAAATGGTAAGCTACCACGGGAAATCTTGTCTAGTCAGTCATGAATTGAAAGAGACAGGATCACCCAATTGTGTATCACATATGGCACTTGACTTTAACTTGACCATATAGAAGTAAAATTTATAAATAAATTCAATATAAAAAGGATTAAAATTTATATTAAGCAATTTTTGTTAATATGAGCTAAGGTTTGGTACCAAATAAGTAAAGATAATAAAAGCTTCTATAAGCATAGTTTTATGTTGAAAATAAACTACAGTGGAAGGTAAGCAATGAAAGTAGTAAGATGGAAAGCCAACAGAATGGTAGTGACTACAACAGGTTTCAAAATAAATAGGTGTTACAGTGAGAAAAATAACAAAAAACAATTAAAGACTAACATTAAAATGAATGCAGTGATACTTCAGAAGAAAATAATTTATTGATTTACTGGAATAATCTAAACAAGATAATCACAATCAGATTTTTTTAAAAGTTGTAAAGATTCAGATTAAAATTTTAGTTATCAAACTGTCGCATTTCTTTTAAACTATACAAATACCTTCACAAATATCAAATAGTTGTTTATAATTTTAAGAAGAGTTGGTTGAATAACGTAATTATTTTTTTCCATTTCAGATGATCCAGTCTATGACTTTTACTAGGATCTCTTTTTTTTTGTTTACTTACAGAGGTAGATAGTGAATAGAAAATAGTTAATATACTAATTAGCACTGTTCATTTCCAGCAATGCAAGCCACACAGGTAATATTATTCAGTCACCTGTGTAAGACAGACGGTTCTAATTTATGCAAGGGAGTGTTCTCTAATTCCTTCTTTGCTAAGCAATGAAAACCAGGTGGTACTAAAATCACATCTCTTTCATTGGAGATTTTGCCAATAAAGAAAGCTTTAGAATGGATCAGCCAAAACGTTACAGCAGCAGCAATAAAAAGAAAATGTTTAATAGCTGACCGACTATTGAAAAAATACCAAGCTTCTGAATATTTTCTCTGGCAACCGCACTCGCAAATTATAAATTCTTCTCTTGTATAGATCCAATGTAAAAGAAAAACTAACAGCATCATTTGTTGTTTCCTACCTGGAATATCAGCAGTATCTTTAAGCAGTTCAAACAACATGTCCATAGTTTGAGGCTGGTAGTTGCGAGGACACACAGATGTAGCACTGGCTAAGCCGTCCAGTATAAGAAACCACACATGCAGTAATCCACATTGGTTATCTAGTGCATTTAGAGTGGGTGTCTTGTACTGTTCCATCTCATGTTCCTGCTTGATTTCTTCTGGTAAGCAGGCCTTTTCAACTACAGGAGTTGTGGCTGGCACATCCAATCCAGAGTCTTGTGATGTTATACTGTTGTTATCTGTTGGAGTGCCTCCATCAGCTGCAACACCACTGAGAGTAGATGAGGTAACTGTGTCCAAGGCACTATCTAAGACAAAGCTTTGAGAAAAACTGGGATTCCTTGAAAGCTGCTTAGGTGGATGCTCACTTATAGAAGAGAAATTCTGCTTAAAAAGTTCAAAGTCCATATTTGGAATATTTGGATCAACAATTTCTTGTAGAAAACCAACTTGTATTCTACAGAAATAGAAAAAAGAAAAAAAAATTAAATACAAGATTAAATAATTAATCAGCCACAGTAAATACTGGTATATTAAACAAACACAAAATGTTAAAATATAACCATATGATATTTGCTATAATCAAAAGAAACTGATCAATAAAGCTTTCTTTTCAGCACCACTTTTTACATATATAGTTGATGTTGTATAAAATAAATGATAGTATTAATAATAGTTATACAACAGTTATGCCCCCTTTTGTTTTAATACGTTTTTTGTTATATTTGGGAATAGGAATAAAGGTCTTGGACTGCACATAAGCACTTGTTGTTACTGTTGCTTAACTAAAATAGAGGACCAATTATTGAACCCGCTGAACTGGATAACTTGAAGCAATAGATGTTTCAAGATAAAACAGTTGATAATATAACAGCACTCTGCCATTCCAACATAGCAAATAGAAAAAAATATTAAAAATTCTAGAAGTCCTTTATATCAAAATACAGCAATGGTCTATCAATAAAATTTGTTTCAATATAGGTTCAAACATGTTAAAATGTCTCTGAGATATATGAACATTTTAGCCAGGATATGCTAAAATCTATTCTAGAGTCATAGCACATGAACTCTTATTCATTTCAAAATTTGGATCGCTAACAAGATACTCTAAATATCACTTAGCTTTTTACCTTTTTTCCTTGAAAATAACTAATAATGGTTCAAGGTAATTGGAATATAATTTTGATAAGTTCCTTATTCAACATAAAAAGAAACTCAACAAAAGGCTTACCAGACATTCCTTGTCCAATATAAAAATATTTCACATTGAGTAGTGGTGCAAATAGTGCTCAATGTATAATAACAGAGCTATAATTTATATTAATAATAAATATACATTTTTTTCTTTTGCAGTAGCACAACACAATCATCAGGGACTGAATGAAAACTGATCATTGCATAAATTAAATACTGATACTATACCATACTATAATGATAGTGGAACAGTTCATTTTATTTACGGGGTGGGGATGTTTTACAATATATACAAAAACACAAATACACACACTTATATGCCACCAACTACAAAAATATAATTCAAATAAAAATATACACACCTAATAAGTAATTTTAAAACATACAAATGTACACACAAATATCATGACATAGCCCCCCCCATATATATATATATATATATATATATATATATATTATATACACACATACCGAAACAAATAAATACTAAAATAGTGGTTTTAAAATCACATGCGTTATAAAGTGCTTAATTTCAAGTAAGAAAAATCAAACCTGTAAAATGATTTAATATCTTCAACCGCCAAGGTCTCATCAGGTGATTAACACAATGAACAGGTCAAAACTACAGTAGTGTTTCATTCAGCATTTTAAGCGTTTTAATATATATATATATATATATATATATATATATATATATATAAAAAAATAATCATATTACTCTAGACATTTTTCTTAATACACATGCTTGAGTAGTTGCTTTGTTTTTTATTTTATTTAATAGGGCATGTGCATCCACAAAAATAACATTTAGAGTAATAACAATATAAGATTAAAAACAAAATCCATTATTTTCTTATATATCACATACCTTAAGTTTCCTGAACTTTTGAATATTACCTCCAAATATATTTATAAAGTTGATATTTTCTTTTGTGAAAAGTGGGTATACGTGTATGTATTTTATAACAAATATTGATTGGTTTACCTGTGAGCACCATGAAAGATGGGACACTGAGGCATCTTCCACATGGAAGCAAGGATCTGACAGCACTGTCTCAAGTAATTGAGTGCAGGTAGGCATAGGTTCTCTGTTCCATCAGTAGAAGTGAAGTCACTACCTGAATCTGAATCATCATCACTGACACATTCAAACTCTCCTAGAGATCAAAGTCAAAGCTCATTATTAAATATAAAGTAAAACTGTAGTACATTTTCTATCATTTTAAGAAACAAAGCTGATAAAAAATATTTCTTATTGTCATTTATAGACAAGAAAAAAGAACTTATGTATTCTTATCTGCATTCATATAAGAATTAAAATTATTTAAAAAAAAAAATAAAGGAAAAAGGAGTAAAAATGACAATAAATAAATAAAACCATTCTAGAATATGTGTAATACAGGAGATAAAATTCAAAGCATAAACTAACTAAATTAACTGATATTAATTAGAAAGAGTGCAAAAAATCTGTTTAAAAATAGGTTTCAAAAGAAAACCATAAGACATTAACACATTCATGATCACAAACCCTGTAACCAATGTACTGCTGCCTAAATTTCTAAAGATCGTAGTTGACATGAAAGCAAGAAGCCAGAAGAGAGTTTCACAAGCAAGTAATGGGAGAGAAAAAACTAGTAGTATAGACCTTATGGTTATATCTAGTAATTTCAACAGTAAAATATTACCCAATATTCTATAAATTTATTACGAAAACATTTTTATGTACTCACCTGGTCCACGTACATACTTCAGAAGACAGAGTATACAATCTACAGCAGCGTTGGCAAACACAAGGATATTGTCAGTATTAAGGAACACTTCAAAGACATCAAGTACAGCAGCAATATGACGTTGTCGAGCCTCATTCACTTCCTCATTGAGGGTGTATTCTATCTTGACTGCTTGCAGGGCTGCAAATAAAGGCCTCCAACCAGACCTAATTTCAGCAGTACAAGCTTCTACAAGTTCACAAATAGAGCATACAACCTGAAATAGGAAAAATAAATAAATCAATGCAAATTTAATTGTTTTTTTTTATGGCTTATAAAGCTTTTGCAAGTTATTTAAAGCCAGAAAATATTTTGGGATTGTAAGAATTTTTTGCGAGACAATAATGATTTTCTGATATATCTACTAACAAACCCATAGTTGGGGGAGAAGAGGTAGATTCATACCTTTCCCAAGGGTATTGGCATGCAAGTAAATATAACAAAGCTGACTAAAATTGGAACTTGGCACACTGATTTCCAATTCTGAGCCAATTACATTACACCATCTACACATCCAAGCTTATAGCACCTTGTGTTCCCAAGTGGTTCCCTATCTAGGTACTGACCAGGCTTGATATTGCTCGACTTTGATGAATGTATGAGAACTAGTGTTTCAATGTGATATGGGCATAAGCCTGAAAATGTAAAAACCACAAAACATAGGGATTATATAGTAGCAAGTAGCATCTTTTTGTATGAATGAAAATCAATCACCTACAGTAAAAGGATCTGGTAAACACTAGTTAAACAATGTTATTAATCCTTATAACATATTGCTTTAAAGACTGCTAAGAATGGCTATTAAATTTGATGCCAAAATGCCACCTATTATTAACACTTTCACTGTTGTGGACATACTTATATGTCTTTATATATATATATATATATATATATGAACTTAAAATGGCTGCTGTCTCACACACATATACATATATATATATATATATTTTTTTTTTTTTTTAAACAGGTTTGGTTAAATAGTTTAGACAAACTATGTCTTTATTTTTGTTTTAATCCATTCAAGTCCACGAATCAATTTCTTGGTAGGTGTAGAAAATTGATCAAGAAAAATATCAAAATTTTCTTTCAAATAATTTTTATTTTCCCCAAGTACTTTCAATCTCATCTAGGACCATCTTCAGGGGGTTAAATTATCTGTGTATACATATTTCTGTAAATTCAAAATATTTTTACTATTCATTATACTGTGTTTTTTATTATTCTATATTAATTTTAAATTCGGGAGTATATTTTCTCCAGGTAAGGGAGGCAATTTTTATTTATTTATTCATTTTATATATATATATATATATATATATATATATATGACTGAAAGTACTTGAGAAAATAAAAATTATTTGAAAGAAAATTTTGGTATTTTTCTTAAACAATTTAAGAAATTGTTATGTTAAAAGGAGGAATTACTTGTCACCAATATGTAAATATGCTTCATGTTACTATAATAATGAAATATCTTATTAGCAAACAGGCTGAAAATATATTGCTTTTTATTTTTGTTTCATGTTAGCTTCTTTAATAAATATTTAGATAAATTCCTCAGACAGAAAATACAAACAATTTCAGAATTACTTAATCCATATCCACCTGGCTCCAACTTAAACTGATAATTTTTTCAATATATTGTTACCATTTTGCTTGAAGCTTGTATTTTCTTGATTTCAGAAGTAAACATGGAAATTTCCCAACAGATTTCAGTTAAATTTTCACTTGCTATAATCATAGTTTAGATATATAGTAAAAAAGAAGGCATCAGTTTAAACTGATACAAGGAGGATATGGGTTACATATTGCAATCATTTTTTAACGGTATTGATAAACTAGTTAATGCTATGATTATTTTTGAACATACATGCTTACAAGTGAGAAAATTTTTTTTTTGTCATAAAAATGGAAATTCCTGTAATGGAAGAAAAGAAAAATGAAAAGAGTAATAATTCTTGCATAATATGTGTAAAATAATGATCAATTTATTTTGTAAAACTTATTTTTATTTAAAAATATGTAATAATGCTTTAGAAAATAAAAATATCATTATGTCATCATTTTAAGCAGCAAATAATAATTTTAAATAAATGGCACCCACTTGTATGAAATGTTTTGAATTTCAAAGTCTCAAATTAATAGTCACATTTTGAGTTTGAAATTTTAAAATAGGTTATAAGATTGATTTGATGGATGAAGATAAATGTTGAATAATTTCTGAGTTTGCAGATTTAAAGTAATGTTGGAAACATCATCAGTAAGTACCACCAAATTGGGAACTTGAATTTGCTGAGAATTTATAAAACAAATGTCTTTATCAAGCTATGAATGCTTTAGGTGTTTTGCCAGTAAAGAAATATTGAAAAGCACAAGATGTCAGGTGCTAAATCAAGTGGTAAAATATGTGACACTGATCACTAAGTCATGTTTAAAAGACATTCAGGAGGAAAATTTTTAAGAAATGGTCAACAGAAGGCAGCTCGAGTCATGTTCTCAAATTTTGTCAGATTGAGACTTTCATATAGATGTCATTCATGACATCAAACTAGTTCAGAAATATCTCAGCTGTATACAACTGTTTTCTTAGATTAATGATAAAAATGATTTTGAGTGAATGAAATGTGTAGGTCTTAATGAAGACCATTGCTCTTATAGACTGGCACAACAGAATCACAAAGAACTGTACCAGATAACAGAAACTACATTACTTGAGGACTTTCAACAATTAAAATGGATATCACATCTAACTCAAAGAGAAAATAATGATATAATCAAGATGTTAACATTTCACACTACTTGTAACAAAAGGTTAGGAAGGAAGCCTCCTCACTTCATCAATACATATATTTTCCTGAAAACTTGTTTAAATAGAAGTATTTTATAAATTCCAACTTGAAAGTAGCACTGGTTACTCAAGTCCATAAATGTCAATCCTTCCTTATAAGGAAATGGCTAATATTACCATTACCATTTTTTCAACAAATGTTGTGCGACTTTCTATGGGGCCAGGTGGGTGGAACAAAGGCCAAGTAGCTCCTGGTGGAAACTGCCCTCACAGGTTGAAATGCCAATAAAGCAGAGGTGTTTTGAGATGGGATTTTAGGTGAAGTTCTGGGTCCATGGTAAATTGCAGATGGTATTATAAATACAGCTCAGATATACATTAACTTTTTGAAGGCATATATGGAACAATGATAATAAAAAGAAAAAGAAAAATGCTTCCAGAAAAATGTTTTTTTTACATGACACTGCTTCATCACACTTAGGGAAGAAAACTAAGTCAATAAAAATAAAATGAGTTTTGCTCAACCTTAAACCAGTTGAGAACTTGTGGAGCATTCTGAAGAAGGAATTTTACATTTGTAGACACTAATTTACCAGCAAAGATTAACTTTGGAAAGTTATTCTAGATGCTGTGCAGTCTGTTTCATATGAAGAAATACAATAGCTCATAAAATTAATGGATGATTTCTAAAACTAGTTTCAGAAGTTGATGCATACATTTCACATTAATGTTGCCTTTATAACGTTGTCCTCTTTACAATGACACTGTTTTCAACTTTTTGTTCAAAACTTTTTTCTTTGTAAATGTTGCGCACATTCTGTAATTATATTTTTTTAATTATTGTATATACTCTCGTATCATGTAATTTTTGAAGACCTAATTTTGAAGTTAATTTTAAAGGGGTTCATACATGAAATATAAAATTAGCATATGTACTGCTGTCCCAGGCTATACTGTAGTAAAAACGTATAGCTGTATTTAAAATAAACATCACATGTTACACAAGTATATATGGTATAACAAAATTCTTTGGAGTTTCAGTGACCTGCTAATGATGTTAATGTAAAACTTGGAAAATCTGGTAAAATTCATAAAACTGTTGCCAAATTTTAAAAGTAACATGAGAAGGCTATCACATTATAATTTGTGCACATTAAATAGCTTGCTTACACATTAGTAGAGCAAATATATCCATGAAAACTTTCATTAGATTTCTAAAAATTAAAAGTGGCTAATAATGTGAGATACAGTGTACCATATAAAATATTTTTCATCAAATAAATAAAAAATATATATAAGGTAATCAAACTAAACGTAATGCACAAGAAGTACTTAAAAATAGAGAATTAGTTTTTATAAGAAAATATATGTTGGACAATCTTCTTGAACATCTAAAAGAGACTTGAAGCAACAGAAATGTTTTACAGAAGGATGCCAAGAATACCATAGACTGAACATGTGAGCAACAATGAAGTTTTAGAGACAATGGAAACAAAAAGTACACTTATACTTAACATCAGGAAGAAACAGTTGAAATCAAAGACAAATGAAAACAACACTTATTTTAAAAATTGATTTTACTCCAAGCAAGGCAGTAAAACCACTAAGACACAAGGGGTTACTAGATGTGAAAGAATTAGAAAACAGGAGTATTATTGAGGAGTGAGAATAACAGAAGACTAATCAGGTTGACAGTAGATAACAATTGACATTGCATTTAAATTTTTGAAGATCAAACTTGACTGGAAAGCAAGAAGCTGGAAGAGAGTCCCACAAGCAGGAAGTGCAAGCAAAGAATCTATTAGCATAAAACTTACAGTTGCAGCTAGCCAATTCAACTGCAAATTGATGAGACCTTGTTGTTAATCTAGTATTGTGCTTAAAATTCATAAGGTCTAGATACTATAGTGAGAGCTCAATTGAACAATTACTATGAAAGTATTTATAGAAAAGGCACAGGGAAGCTATGTTATGGTGGTGGGAAAGTGACTGAAACCAAGACACTAGATCAGGACCAATAATACTGCCGATTCTTCTTTGGATTTTATCAAGTATCTATAAATATATAGCAGATGTGACAGCAATATTCTAAGCATGGATGAATGGTAGACTTATAGATATGTAAAATAGATTCTAGTGAAAGAAAAATTGTCTTGTACAATACAGTTAACCAACTTTCTTAGCAGTTGACCTTGCAATGGATTCAATGTAGTCTTTCCACTTCATGTCAGTGAAGAATGTCAACCCAAAAAAGTGGAATGAGTCACTCTTCTGGAGGTTAGCACCAGCCATGATGATGGAAGGCAGAAATGGGTCTTTCAGATGATTAATAGAGATCTGTTTTGTTTTAGGTCGTTTTTGAAATCAGCTTCAATTTGACCATATCAAACTGATCAGACTTAGTATTGAGACAGGAGTAAATGGCTGTATCATCAACATAGATATCAAGTTGAGAGTGGGTGTCATCAGGACAGTCATTAATGAAAATTAAAAAAAAAAAAAAAAAAGGACCAAGGATAGAGCACTGGAGGACGTGTATTAGTACAGAAAGATCTAGAAGAATGGCCTGATTAGCTTGAGTGAATGGATGGCAGATCAGTGTTTGGGTGAAATGGTGAAAAGAGAAAATTTATTGAGACCTACAAAGAACAGGAAGTTGTGGATAGCCATGATTACCAAGGACTTGAAGAAGATGAAGAAACAACTCAATTGTGTTCATTATTCTATTGTAACCAGTATTTTAAGCACATCTCTAGTTTGAGATTTTAGGGAAACGTTCAGATTGTGAATTTAAATGATCTCAACTGACAGACTTTCCTTACACTTTGTCAATTATTTTAGATAAATCCCTTAATTTAGAGTAAAAAACTTTTTTTTAATTACAATAGATTAAGATTGATACAAAATTTCAAATTTCTTTTATATACATATAGATTTTCTAACACAAAATTATAACTTAATATTGTTAAAGTCAAAGAGAAGAGAAATTAGAATAAAGATTACTTACCTGATCTTGTACATCTCCATCGCACATATCTTGAGAGAAGAGGCTCTCAAAACCTTTGCATAGTAATTCATTTACATAGAAATGAGGATATTCAGGGTGAGTACTTAAAACTGCAGTAATATAATCATGCATACATGTTACAGCCATTTTGGATATTCTTCTGTCAGGGTTACCAGAAGCCTAATATGGAAAAAAAATGAAGAGGAACAAATAAAGATAATAGAATATTATTATTATTAAGAAGAAAATTACAAGAAAAAAAAAAAAAAAAATGGACTTGGAGATTAAAATATGTATAAAATATCAATCAAACTAAAAGATGACAGAGCTTAATAATTTGAAAAGAAAATAATTCTCTTAAGTTTTGAAATTTTTAAATGATTTCTTTTCATCGTTTTTTTTTTTTACTGTTAATTTTGTTTAAATTTTTTAAATGAGGAATTATCCTTATATATTAATGTACTTATGTTGTCATTTTGGCTGTTACAGTCACAACAGTTCAGCTGTTGTACCTTCTCGCCTTCTTCAGATGTCTTATAGTACATCAATTTCTGTGTATTTTGGCCCAGTTATGAATTCAATCTGGAAGAGACAATATTTGAAGGACATATTCAATATCTCATGAGATATCTTTTATGAATAAAACCATGACTAATTAGTAATGGTAATATTAGCCATTTTCATTTAAGGAAACATTCAGCATTCATTGACTGTGCAGCCACTGCTACTTTCAGTTGAAATTTATAAAATACTACTCTTAAAACAATTTTTCAGGTAACTAAATTTCTAGAGTCCACTCTTATTGCTCTTTCCAGTATTGATGAGATATTTCCTTCCTAACCTTTTGTCTGAAGTAGTGTTGAATGCCAGAATCTTGATTATATAATTATTTTCACTTTGTGTTAAATGTGCTATCCATTTTAGTTGTTGCCACTGTTGAAAGTCAAATGATGTGGTTTCTGTTATTTGGTACAGTTCTTTGTGATTCTGTAGCTCCACTCCACAAGTTTTGAAGAAGGATGGTCCATATTAAGAACTATAGGTTTCAGTTACTCAAAGCCATTTTAGCCACTGCTCTCCAAGAAAGCAGTTGTATACATCTGATAGATTAAATATTTTCATATGAGAGTCTCAGTCTGACAAAGTCATTTAAGAATATGACTCGAGTCTTTAGGTTAATTTTCCAGAGTCAGACAACAAAGGACACTTTGTAGGAATTAGGGGAATTACTGAAACCCTAGGCCCTCATCAGACTCCATGCAGGTTTTGGGCATATAAGCAGAAGATCAAAGCAACCAAGACAGAGCTGCTTGAATTGCTGTTGGAGATGAGAGAGGACAGATTCAATCTCACATGACTTACTGCCTGAAGAAAACAACTGACTTAAGCTAGGTACCTCCACGAGATCGCTAAAAAAAGAGCATAGCATGATGAAAAAGACGCCAAACTTGACGAAAACAAAATTTTATCGTCTGTTATTATTAAGAGGAAAGGTCAAAGTATTTTGGGGATATTTTTTTCCATTTTTTTAATTGTTCCTAGCACGTCCGAAATTTTCGTTAAAAATCTAGTTTTTTTTTGAGTCAGCAAAATTGACCATTTTTTTCCATTTTAAAAAAAACTGAAATCTGACTTTGAAATTTTTTTAAATATCAATTATCATTTTTTCAAAACTTATTTTAAGAAAATCAGAAATTATAATGTTTATTTAAAATATTTTGAACCAAACTTAACTTAGCTTTTGTGCCAAAAAGATGTAATTTGAAAATAAAACAAAGCAGAAAATAATTAAAAAAAAACTTTGGTCTTTCCTCTTAATAATAACATAAGCATTTAGACAATAAAATTTTGTTTTTGGCAAGGTTGGCGTCTTTTTCATCAAGCTATGCTCTTTTTTTAGTGATTTCGTGGAGGTACCTAACTTAAGCCCTGTTCCAGAAAATTTGTTCAAACTTAGTCACATCAAGAAAAATGTCACATTAATATATGAAGTAGGAAGGGTTGATAATTCTGCACAAAGAAAATTGTTTTCTGTATGAAACTTATATATTCCTACCTGAAGAATTGATAATTGTAATATCATCTCTGTACAAAGAACATTATACAAAAACATTTTCTTTTATTCAAATCATTTTCTTTTTACCTTGTGACTTCACTCTGCCTGGACCAAACTAATACAACAATTCTTCCTGTCAACAATTTGATTCTTGCCAGCCATATGATCAAAATCAAACAACGTGGACAAGGCAAGGCTTGGATTGAAATGATCAACTTGTTACGAGGATGCATTTCTATAATAAGAAAGTCTCAATGAGGTTAAAATTTATAGTAAGGGATTCTACTGAGTTCTACCTGTTAATACAAAAACGTTTTCTTTCATGAAGTAGATATAAAATAGAGAAATTTGAAATAGAATGTTTGGAAGATTCTAGATCATTCTAGTATATTCGAGAAGAATCTAGATGATTCAAGAAACATCTAGAAATATGCAAATTAGGTGTTAGCCCCTATAAAAATGGGATTTTGGAAAAGGGTTGTCAGTTGGTGAAAAGAATTTTTGCTGTTATCAACTCCAGCTTTTGATTCAAGGATTATTATATCCAGCTGAAAGAACCTCTATAAAAAGTTGTTGACCAACAAAAACCCAAAAGAGAATTTCATGGAACAAATTTGGTAAATAGAATTTTGACTAATTTTCATTGACCAAACTAAAAATTAATATTTATTTACATACCTTTGTGGATTTCCAAATATAGCACTTAGATTACTTCGCTAGCCCTAAAGTGATAAAGATATTTGACTCACCTTCCTTCTCCCTCGTAACACTTTGCCAGTAACTCTGTGTTTTTTGCTTTGTAGGCCACAATTGTTTATCTTGTATATATTTTATGTTGTGTTTTAGTAAATTAAATATTTGTTTGTGATTTAGCTCTGTGTTATGGTAAATCATTTTTTTTTTCCTTTGTTACAATTATCAACATGTAACAAACTCATCAATCAGCTGTGGGGATTGGACATCAGACAGGCTGGCAATGAAGAAGGCTACAGCTATTTTTCTCTTCTTGGCAGTTACTTCAATATCAAATGAGTTCAAGGTTTTACTTCAATGTCAAATGAGTTTAAAGTCTGATCAGTTTTGTCCTAAGTTGGTGCATACACACTGGTGGTTGGTGAGGTTGATATGAGTCCAGCAGGACATTTCATAATAGCTGTAGAAGAATATCTGCTACGTAAGGGGCTCTTTATGCATCTTTTTGCTTATTTTTCTTTTCCTTCAGGCTGGTATTGCAGCTTGTTTCAAAATTGCTTGCTGTCTGGTGAATGGTGATGCACCAAGCCTTAGATTCAGAAGCTTCTATCATCCACAGTATTATAATAAATACCAACTGCCTTTGAATCTTGTACTTTAGTTAACTATTTTCCTTCTCTAACTCAGTAGATTCCAATAAGTAGCAGGAACTTTATCAAACCTGCTCTTGAAAATGGACTAAACCATTTGGTTCAATATATACCCCAACAACTTCTTATCATCCTGGGGAGGTTATACCAATTGTAGCTTCTATTCTTGTTATACTTCCCTTAAAGGGAGCTGTTGTTAATCAAGTTGAGGACTCTTTTTAAGGGTCTTTATAATTATTCCTCAGGCCTTCCTGCTGCAGTGACTATATAACAACTCACTAGATAGTATTATTTTGGGCAGGAGATGATCTTCCGTTCCAAAAACATGAACCTCCTAGCATAGTTGGGCTTTCAAGGTGGCTACTTACTAAGCCAAACATACATATGTGCAGACTTCACTTATATGCAGGACATCAACAGAATGCTTAACCATAGTATTTTTGTCTTTTCAATTCAACGTTTGTTAAAATAATTTGCTTGTCTTGACAAAGCTTTATTCTCTTTAATATTCATTTTATCTACTAATTTATGACTAATCTCAACTGTTTAATTGTGAAGATGAGAAACACAACTTCACTTTAGTAGAAGTCATTAGACATATCTATTGTTTAAATGTTGAGTTGGCAAAGAGTATAAAACAAAGCTCAAGATTTATAGCAAATTATTATTGAAAGTTTGCAAAATACTTTCTGTAATTAATCCTAGATGTCTTCATAATATGCATTTCTTAGTTCCTCCTTCCCCCTCCCTAACAATAATCCCACTTTGTAACTTTGGGTGTCTCTTGGGCATTGTAATGGGTGAACTAACAGTAAAAAAAAAAAAAAAAAAAAAGATCATAATTAAGTCAATAGAAATAAAGATAACGTGAAACTTACTTCAACAAGGTGAGTGGAAACAGCATTGTAGGCTTGAACCAGATGTAGGAGTGGTCGTCCTGTATGCAGCACTTTCATGAGTACCTCCTGAAGTCTGTATAATAGCAAAGCATTAGTTGGGAGCTTGGAGCCTATGTTCAACATCTCCTCTTCTTCAGATTTGCTATTCATTTGAATCAGTTGAAGGTGGCTGGCTGTACATAGTTCTGAAAGGAAACTTACCAATGCCTGCATGTTTAATTTTTGGGCAGCATCCTCAAACAATCTGTCAAATAAAAAAAGAAATATCTAAAAAGCCAGCACTGCACAAATAAACATATTGTGTATTAACAATAAAGATTAAAATCTAGGTCAGGTTTTTGTTTTATGTAGTATGCGATATACACCAGAAAATACCAGATATCTGAATTGAATTTAATGCTTATCAGAAATCTTTGATCTAAGAAGAGTTGATATGTGGTAACCCCAATATGTATTGGGTTCAGCTTAAAATATACTAAAGTAGGCATAGTACTTGGTGTCACATCAGAACGTCAAAAAAGCTAGGAGCCTCAGAGAGTTGACTTTAAAGCCACCAAGTGCAGAATTGAGCATGGAAGAATTAAGATGGTTGATAATGATTGATATTGATCTTCAAAAATTTAATTTCAAAGTTGACAGGAAAGCAAGAAGCTGGAAGAGAATTCCACAAGCAAGAAGTGTGAGAAAAGAAACTGTTAGCATAGAACTTACAGTTACATCTAGCCAGTTCAATATAAATTGATGAGACCTTTTTGCCAAATTAGTTTATCTTGCACTCTGATAACAAAATTCCTATAAGGCTTATTTTTAAACAAAACTTAGTTTTATATGGATAACTTTGGTATGTTGATATTTGTAATGAAATATTCAATATGAAGAATTTCAACCAACATAATCTAGATTCCATTTACAAATATTAATTTATATTCATCTGCAGGAATTTTTCAGGTTGACTGAAATGATTGTTATTAATTTTTAACCACTTGGAACAGGGATATTTTAAAAAACTTTTAGCAGGACAAAAATCTTATTGTCAGATGTCTCAGTCATTTTCAAGTGGGTAATTATAGAAAAGTAAAAACCTTTTGTATTGATGTATTCAGTTGTTTCCAACTAATAATAATGTGGTTTAATTTTACCATCTATCCCCAGTAAATGTATTCCTGAACTTCTTTCAGTTCTTCATCCTCTATACTTAGGAATGTTTTTGGAACATTACAATTGAATAAATTGGAAAATAGTTAATAAAAATAAAAACATAACGAAAAGCATCTTGTCAATATGCTTAAAATGTAAACTATATATTGAACAAATAATACTAGCTATAAAGATACACATGAAAAACATGAAATTGAACAAAATCACTTAAAAATCAATGAAGAATGAAAAACAAGATAACCCTAAAAATAGAAAGAGGTCAAGATGGATCCAAGAACAGACCAAGATGAGAGATATCAAAGGAGTGGTTGATATAGAGGTGCACAGGACAGATAGTAAGAAGGAAGGATAGCAGATGAAGCAAAATGGTATCAAATAAACAAGAAACATACTAAGAAAAAACAGAGAGAAAATGAAGAGATAAGATAGATATTTTGAGTGTGACATGGCTGAGAATAGTACAGTCATGGTCATCATGGAAGGAGTTAAAAAGGCCTTTGTTCAGCAGTGGACTTGCCATAGATGATGCTGATAGTCGTATTTAAACTATGTAAAACACAATGAATACCATAGAATAGATGTGAGTCACAAAAGGAAAATGGGAACTGTAAGCACACTTATACTTACATCAGAAAGAATAGAAATTCCTGGGACATATGAAGAAGGAAGACCTGGAGAATTAAATACTCTTAGGGCATATTAAAGGCAAGAGGAGTAGAGCGAAACATTGAATAACCCACCTAATGAGTTTGTGCAAATGGATGTCAAAACAAAAGTAAAAAGGATGGTAAAGGATCAAAAGTTACTTAGAACAACAAAAAGAAGTTGTGAAGAGCCATGATCACTTATATCTGAAGAGAGACAGCATGTAAAAGATTAAAGCACAGTGAATGATGCAAAAAAAAAAAAAAAAAAAAATTTTTAATAAAATTTCTAATTATTTGACAAGATATCTTAAAAAAAGTTTATATCTGTCCAAGTAAACCAGAAGTTATGTAGAAATGATATAAGAATGGAAATTATGAATAGAGAAATATATGAAGTTGGCTACTTGTTTAAGGAAATGGTGGTAACAAATGAAATCAAACAACACGACAATAAATTAATTAGGAGATTGAATGAGAATGATTACTGTAAATATTTTGAGATATTGAACTCCATAAAACAGGAAAAGATGAAACAAAAAGAATCTCTCAGGAAAATCAGAAAAAAATTAGAAATCTGATAAAAGGCATGACCACATTAGCTGTAGTCACAGTAATGAATTCTGGAACATTTCTAAACTGAACAAAAGTAACTAAAAACTATAAAGCTCTACATCTAACTAATGATGTAGATAGTCTCAGAAGAGGACTCAATAGGAGACTTAATACAGCAATAAAAATACTAATACCACTGGAAAGAACAAAACTGACAAAAGGTTAACAACTGTGAAATCACAGAAATACACAACAAGTCAAGAAATTGAAAGAGAAATTGCTCAATGGAAAGTTCTGAAGACATAGAAAATTGCGGATGATCTTATATATGACAGAAATCTGACTAGAGAAACAGAATGCTGTGTAATAGAACAGAGCAAAAGCATTAATGCCAACTGTAAAGATGAAAACTGACAAAACACAATCAGATAGCAAATATTGCTTGTATGGAGAAGAGACAATTAAGTGTATAAGTAAATGCAGCTAAATGACTGAAAAGAAATATAAAAACAAATATGATTGGAGAAGAACGGTTATTTAGTAAGAAGTGTGCAAACAACTTGAGATAGGCAATAGAACCAAAAAGATCTGAGTATGAACCAGAAACTGTCATTCAGAATATGGGAAGATAAAATATGTTGGAACTGTTACATTAACACAGATTATCCAGTCTATAAGAGAAAGTTAAAGTTAATTGAAAGGAAGAAATAATGAAAATTTAAGCCAAAAAGAGGAGTGGGGTAATGGTTAGTGAGGTTGGTCTGGTTGATCATTACTAATGAGTAGTGAGTTCAATCTTCATTAGGTGCCCCCATACAAATTTTGACATTAAATAATCTGAGGGTAGTCATATTATAAAGTCAACTAAGCACTAATACTATGGAGTAATGGTTAGCAAGGTTAGTCTTGTTGACCATTACTACTGAGTAGTGAGTGCAATTTTCACAGGGTACCCCTACACAAAATTCAACATTAAATAGACTAATAAAGATTGACATGTCATAAAATTAAAAAAAACAATAATCATTATAGAATAATAGTTAGTAAGGCTAGTCTTGTTGACTGCTACTCTTGAATAGTGAGTTCAGTCTTCACTGGGTGTCCTATATAAAAATCTGACATTAAATAGTCCAACAAGGATTGATATACAAAAATCAACTAACCAGTAATTGGCATAGGATAATGGTTAGTAAAACTTGTTGACCATTACTACTGAGTAGTGAATCCAATAATTACTGGGTGTTCTATAAAAAATTTGACATTTAATAATTCAGCATGGTATAAATTCAAACAACCAATGGAAGTAGCCATTCTGGCAGATCAAAAAAGAAAACCTTATACCTTGCACATGAATTATATAAAACTGTAGATTTGGTAAAAAAAAACAATACTTAGAACCAGTGGTGCATATAGAATGCTCATAAAGACCTATCCAATGAGATTTGAAAGATGAGAAAGTAATGAAATAATAAAGATCGCAGCACTACACAAATATTTCTATATCAAGTGCCTGTGAATAAAGGACACATTTTGTCACTTTTTTCCAACTTCTATCATAAGATACTATGTACATTTTGACAAAATGTGTAAAAAAAATAAAACAAAACATAAAAATGTGAAAGGAGATAAAAGAAATCAAAAGACAGGATGGAGGAGACAAAAGAAATAGGAGTTGTCAAAAAGAAAAAAAAAAATATTTGATATTTGCATGCCTATAATTACCTGTCGACTTCTTGAGAGAGACCACAAAGAGCTTTTGATGCTTGAGAGGCACTGAGTACACCTCCACCACTGATTGCACTGTCCCACCCAGCTTCAACACTGCTCAAGCGGGTCAGTTCATGGACGCTTATTGTAGGAGCTACAGGCATTACAGGTACCATAGGTGTCATATACATTTCAGGATCACAACTGAAAATAGTAATAATAGTATTGTACTTGTTATAAACAAACCTGGTTTTGTTTCACTTGAAACCAATCTCAAGTACAAACAGACTTTTTTTTTTATCATCCTTTGACAGAAAAATGTACCGAGTATACATTAAGAAGATTAATATGATCCTGTTTCTTAATACTTTGTTAAGCTTTTGGAATGCAACTTTTGTTAAGCTAATGCATGTTTAGATTTCAATGTTGCATTTTCTGTCTGCTGTTAAAACAGTTCCTAGATATTTAAACTTCTGTACTTGTTTGATATTGACATCTCCAATTTGTAGTTTGTATCTTGGACATTTTTCTGCTCACTACCATATATTCTTACAGTTGTTGGCTAATTCGCTTTTCGCTTTCCTTTACTACCTTGTCTAGGAGTTCCAGTAGTTTTCTTTCTAAGGTCTGCCATCAACACAGTTATTTGTATATCTTATATAATTCCTGGTAGGGTCTCTAGCTCTCTTTGGATAGCCTCACTGTAGAGGTTTAACAGATCTGAAGAGAAGACACATCCTTGGCCCATGCAACTTTCTATTTCTGTATACCCTGCTGTTTTAACATTTTTGACTAGAAGAATGAACTAGGGGGTTGTTTATTTTACTCCTTTTGGAGCTCCCTATCAACTCAAGTCAAAGAAGAAACTTTGTCAGGTGAGATGTAGGATGAAAAATAAGACCTATAAAAGGATGGAAGAACTCTTGATGAGTCAACAGTCAGATAACTATGATAGATAAATAAAATAAAACACTGTAGAGAAGGCAACGGGAAACCACTTCACTACCTATCCCTATTACTCTAAATAATCATGGCAATAAGCAATATAACTATTAGAGATAATGGTGTGAAGTGGGTAAAATCTACTGGGGATAACTGCTTGCTCAGTAAGGGAAGACATGAGCACCAGGTGTCCCCTGACCATTACCCAGTGACTGTTTGCAACAAACAAAAAATAGTAACAGGGACTTGTATATTCTTACCATCTCATTATCTCTTTTGAGTTAGCGACTATAACTTTATATATAAGGAGTTTATAAAATTTCTTGTAGCTAATTTAACTTCCTGATTTCATATACCGAAAAATTAAATAGGGGTTTAAAACTCACTTTTTTAAATATAGTGATAAAATTTGTAATATTATCACATACATTTTGTACACAAGATACAGGTAATTTCAGAATTGTGAAGTCCAAGAAACTGAAGGTTAAATTTTAAATCATTTGCACATCACTCTTATTTTCTTTCTATTGTGGTATATCAGTGATAAAATTAAAGTATAAAGATTTTTTAGGCTTATATTTTTCTAAGAATTTAAGCAAAAAATATTCATAAATAGCCAAAACAAAATTCTCTTACTCATTAAAATTCCATCAATTAGATTAACTTTTTCTCTTTCCCAAAGCTGTTAGTGTATTATAAAAGACACCAATAAAAATGAAATTGAGATGAATACCAAATTGTTGAATGATTGATTCATTTTTTACAACTTATCAAACTCTTTGCAGGTTATTTAAAGCCAGAAAATATTTTTAGATTGTAAGATTTTTTTTTTTGATAAAATAATGATTTAGTGATACAAGTCTTACTAATTAACCCATAGCTGGAGGGAGAAGCGGTGGATTCATACATTTCCCAAGGGTATTTGCATGTAAGTGAATATAACAAAGCCACCAGGAATCGGAATGTGGCACCCCAGTTAACAATTCAGAGCCATTATCCATTACACCACCCACACATCCAAGCTTACAGCAGCTGGTATTACCCATCTATGTACTGACTGGTCTTGACTTTGATGATTGTACAGGAAACGGGGTTTCAATGTGATGGGGCCATAAGCCCCAAATTGTTGGAAAAATACCCACATGAGAATTATAAATTTGTGGAACAGACTCCCGAGAGGATGCTTCCATAATCACTAAGATCTTAACCTCTTCAAGTCTAAAGTCAAATGTTATGTATCCTACATATCCTTATGATCAGCACTTTTTACTTATTGATAGAAACCGCATTCGGTAACCCCCTATCTTGAGTGGCTCTTGAAGCTTGTATTGTATGAATGATAGTACAAAAAAAAAAAAGAAAAGAAAAAGACCACTAACGGTAACCTGAAGATGTATGACACAGCAAGAATAGAATATAATAATTTTTACTTACTTATATGAGCCATCCAAATTTGGTATACTCATTACAGGTTGTTCATGGTGCACTTTAGGAAGGCTAGATTGATTGTTCCCAGCACTGAAGTATGTATGTTCTAATCTTGCGATGTGGCTACAGCATCTATGAATAAAAAATATATAATCAAACTTCAAAAGAGAAATAGATGTTTTAAACATTAGCCAAATAGTCTTAGCTGCAGTTAAAACATTAACAGTTTTTTCCAAATTATCAAATAAAGACAAAGGAATATAATTAAAAACAAAATAAAATCAGCATAATTATTATTATGCATTTGTAATTTTTTTAATCATACTTTCATTTTTGTTTTATTGTATCTTATCACACTTAAATTTGTTTTTACGTTAATACTGCAATGAAAGAAATATAAGTCAGAAATTAATACTGATAGCAATGTTTAATCTAGGCAAAATTATAATAAAAGATCTTTTATTTTTATAATCTATAAATTTATCTTTAATACAGAAACTAGTTTTCATATATCAGACAGTGATTTTGATGTTTAATTGTACAATTCTTGTGCAATAAGTTACCTGAATATATGTTTCCAGCAGTCAGCAGCATGGCTGCCCATCTCTAGCCCTACAGACATAACCACATCCATACTAAGCACATGAGCTGCATGAAGCCGAACGAGTTTCGGCCGGTTTGGTAGAATGGGTGCTTTTATGCCTTTTCTTTCTGGAATTGTTGACCGTTCCTCAATAACACAAGATGTGCTAGCAAGCTGGGTAAAAACAGCTGCACACCGCTTCTGAAGTCCTGTTAAACAGAAAATGATTATTTAACACTGTCCTTTCCAATATTCAATGGTATTTCTACCAATGAGTTGAATAAATTGGAAAAAAAAATTTTCTGGACACAAATATCTTTATATATATTAAAAGTGGACACTGAGGTCAACACCATGCAGCCACAGTCCGTTTCAAGCTTGAACACAATCTTCAGGCCAAATATGAAACACATTGTCACCACTTGGTGTTGATCTCAGGGTCTCCTTTTACATTTACATATGATTTATTCCCAATATTGAGCACTTTTACACATAAATATAGGGTACCTTAAAACCATGTGTGTGTGTATATATATATATATATATATTTTGACATAGGGAATGCTACTTTGATTAAAAAAGAAAATAATCTACTGAGACGAAAATGTCTGGAAAGTGCCTTGATCACTAGTTCAGCCATGATAAATTTGCGTCCCAGCTCTTACAATGTATCACCATTCTTAGTAGATTTTATATTGTCACAGTGTGGGATAATCAGAAACAAAGGTGGTGGAGAGATAAAGAAAAAGAATACAGATAATTTCAGCTAGATTGATAAAAAAAATTTTTTTTCAAAAATATTCTTTCAAAAAGATTTTGAAACTATCTGCATCTCTCGTTTTGTGCACATGTGTAGATGTGGCAATGTCATCAAAGCCCAGTGTGATGGAATCCTAACGGATGAAATGCATCACAAAGAAAACCTTTCCATTCTGTCATATTTTTCTAAATACTGTTTGTTGATATATAAAATTATACAAAATTATATTGTCATATATTATATATATATATATGTGTTTAGTTGTATGGATGTAAGTTTGTAACCCTACTAACAGGACAATTTGAAGTCCAGAGAAAAACAATGCATAACCTACCTAGCAAGCTTGAGTAAATTGCAAAATTTATCAAGAGCTACAAAGGATAGGAAATAGTGGAAAGCCAATCATAACAGTGAATGTTATTTGTCCAAAAAATGGTTTAGCAAATTAAAGGAAAATAACTTTTATATCTGAATAGTGGTGTTTTATGCATCATCGAAAAATTACAGCCGTTTATTCGATTGTTTATTTAAAATGATAAATCCCTTTCTTTTTTCATGAATTTATCACTGAAAACTTCATTCATGTAATAATGTTGCTTTTTGGTTTTATTCTATGAATAGTTAAAAGTGAATAAAAAATGACAAAAAAAAAAAAAAAAATCACATTTTGAATATTTGTCCTATGGGAAAGCGATATATAAATTTTTATATTTAAAAGAAAATTTTTTTACTTTCTTTTTGCTTTCCTTTACTTTTTTAATTTTATTTTTCAAAAAGATCTTTTGCTTACAAATTTGCACGCTGACATGTTCTTTTCTTTTACATGCCACTCTTTGCTCATAAATTTCTTTTGACGTTTGCTGTTTTTGTTTACCATCCGCTTGTTTATTTCTCTTCATTTAACCTTCAGCATGAATTCAAGCTAAGACTGATGCTAGCACTATTTTTTCATCTGTTGATAAGAATCATGTCTTGAACTGTTGCCAATAATTACAAGATCGGCCAGATAAATCTCAATAACAGGAGGCAATCATAACAGCTGATGTTGTTTGCCAGGAAATTGGTTTCACGATAATGAATACTTTTACACCATAAATTTATCACTGAAATTATCACGTAATAAATAATGTTGTTTAGTATTTTAGCTTTATCCAAGAGATGTTTAAAAATGATTAAAAACAATGAAAAATAAACCTATTTAAATATTTGCTCTATCCAAAATGCATGCATAAATAAATATTTTAAAACTTTTCTGTATTAATTCATATTACTCATTTTAGTTTAATTTTAACATTTACATTTTAATTGTTTTTTATTTATATTTTTGGTGCCTGAAAAAAATAAAGAAAAGAAAATCACTTTGCTCTAACTGATTTCATCGTTAAATAACCTTCTTAAACAAACCAACTAACTTGTAAATCATTCATCATCATAAAGAAGCAACAATCAAATTATTTATTCAACCCCACCACACACACACACACACACACACACACACACACCTGCCTCCATGGTGGCAAAATATGACACGTGGTCTTTTTGATGTGAGGCTGATTTCGCCCAATACAAAAATTACCCAGTCCTTGTGACCACTGTTATGCTATTGTCGATATGCCAATGGATCCTCTCTCACTGTAGCAGGTTTGGAATCAAATTAACAAGTATAATTTGAAAAAATTTTTTAAGCAATATATAATTTAAGAAAAGCACCATTCAGATATAAAAGTTATCTCCCTTTAATTTTCTATATTGAGATTTTTTCGTGAAACAACTCATTTGATTTAACAGTGAAACCAGTTTTCAGACAAATAACATTCATTGTTATGAACCAAACACTTTTTCTGTTTCCTTATCAGTTTCTATTGAAGTAGCTTTGGTTTTTTACTAATGTTCACCAAATACAAGGCCTAAGAGCAATTCAAGGTAGTGAGTTACTGTGTGAACTTATATTAGTGTAGGAAAGGACAAGTGTTACAAGTATAGAGCTGAAGCAGACTTTAGAGGGAACTAAACAGGAAACAATGAATAAACCTCTACTCCTGTTCAAAAGACCAGGGAGGAGAGTGAACTAGGCAATAGGGGAACTTATCTATGACCATACTTCTTTCCGTGCCATGACTTGTACTTTCTCTAACTGATAGTGTAGCTGTGCTCTTTCAACTCTTTCTGTTAGAGAACTGGTAATACAGGCTGATTTTGAAGAAGAAAAAAAGGGCATCTTGTATAATATAATTGCTAGCTGATGCTGCATTCATAACAATTAAAATTAACTTTGCATAAAATTATAAAAAAACACTGGAAACCTTAACCAATTCCAGAATAAAAAAAGTAGGTTAAACCAAACAATTTAGATTCTAATTGTTTTTATGTTACTCACTGACTTCAAATATAAAATTTGTGTAATTTAGTAATTTAATGAAGATTTACCTAAAATACAACACAATTTAGCTGCTTTCTGTAGACCATCAAGACTGTGACACACAGCTTCTCTGGCTTTCATAGTTTCTTCTTTAGCACCTTCAGTACCCAACATCAAGGCCAAGCTACTGGTGATTCCACACGAACTCTTCCCATTCAAAAGAACAGAAAGGACATCCAATACACCTTCCCAGCAGGTTGACAAAATCTGTTTTGATATTTTCTTACCTGTAGAATAAATGTTAATATTTTTTGAAGAGAAGAAAAAATTCAAGATCATTGACAGTTAATATCAAAATATAATCTATTTTGTAATTTGGGCTCAAGAATGAAACACTCAAACTCACCCTCAATGCCTTTATCTCATCCAGAACAGGGAAGTAACATATTGTGGGTTATCTCCACATAGCTTCACAAGTTTCAATAGAAAGTCGTTACGAGGGCACTGTTAAGCACCTATAAAAATTGGACACTTCCTGTCTTCACTCTCTCTTTCTCTTTTTTTCTCCTGGTATGCTGAAGTGACAATGCCAACCAGGACCTTCTTGGATATGAGGATATCTTTCTGCTTAGTAACTTAACTTGCATCATGTGTATCACCTGCACAATTTGTAACTTTTAATGCTTTCTTTCTTTTGAATGCATACTATTGTATTTTATCCTTTTTTACTCAGATATATAAAAACACAAAAAATATAAAATATTGCATTGTCGAAAATTGCCTTCCATTTCCTTATACCCATTATTTACAAGTTCAAAATATTGTTGCCACTGCTTTCAGTCTAACTGGGAGAAGTGCCAGCAGTTTGGTGACCACAATGTGATTTCAACAGGCATCTACTGCAATGGTACCTTCACCAAGCTCTTTTACTAAATTTGTTAAATTGTCTGACTACTTGTCATAACTTTCTACTCCTCCCCCAATTGCCTCTGGTCACTTTCATGAGCTGTCCAAAACATATTGTCTCAGCACAACAGAACATCCAAAAAAGATGCCACTTTTCCTTGCTTCTGACTTTTTATGCTGCCTGCTTATTCACAATTCATGTTGACTCCTTCCATTAGTTGATTGACTAGTTTGTTTAACAGCATATTAACTCCTTATGGGTCATTTAATGCCTGAATTTAATTTTCTTGGGAGCTTGGAAATAATAAAAATATGATATGTTATTCTGCTTTCACAATTGAATACATGGTAGATGATACTCAGCTTTTGTGCATATAGCTGTTTATGTGGACATAATTGCTAGAGGTGGTGATATGTGTGTTTTATGTTGTAGTTTTGTTGAAGTTATATTTTAAAATACAGTTAGTTGGATTTTTTCAAGAAATTGTAGGATATTATATGGATCAATGTCATGAAAGAGTTCTTTCATGTTGGTTGTACAGTTGATTTTGATAGGTGGCATATCAACTTCTATGGGTTATTTAATGCTGAAATCTAAATATTTTGAACACAAGTTTATAGCTTCAACCAAATATGTTTTAAACAATTGTATGTCTTCAACTACAGATAAATGCATTGTTGGCAATTATTTTTATAGTATTGCTGGTATTTTTACTGTAAAAATTTATTTTAATACTTTCCTAGTGTTTTGATTTTTGTATGGGAGTTCACTATTTGCCCATAGTTGGGACCCTAATGGGTATTACTTCCTCAGATCCACCCTGACCTGGGAATAACAGCAATTAAGAGGTGGTTCCACATTCCTCAAAAACTCCAATCTCCTGATTAGAGGTCTTGCTGCAGGAGAGTTTATACCCATTACTAACTTCAATAAGTGAAAACTTATTTAATCTAACTTTGTTCAGTAAACACTTTTCTATTTTTCTTTCTCTGAGTAAATAAGAAAAATTTCTTTCTATCCTCTTTTCTTTCTTTTTCTTCAACTACACATCTTAGTGTTTATAGTTTTGAAGAGAGTCATTAACATTCCAGATGTTGTTTGAATTGCTGAATTCATTGTTTGCATTAGTTTTGTAATTACCAAAATGTTTCAGCAGTTTCATTCTAGAGACTTCTTTACATGCACAATCCATAAGAGAGGATTACTTTTTTTTTTATTACTACAGAAAAAGTTGATAAACAGAATTTTCCAGGATTTAATTATTTACCAGCAGCTATGGAGTTTTTGTTTGGTCGTAATTTCTCTCCTGTCAATTGGTCCTGGTCATCCTCATCCTCTTCATCATCAGAAAGCAATGTATCACAGCTGGAGCGAGCTTCTGTCAAGATCTGGCCACACAGTTCATGGCTACCAAGTCCATCAATATCTAAAAGATAAAATTCTCAATGATAATGTTTTTAGTTATGAAATACTTAAGAGCACATTTAATGTAAAAAGAGTTTGTATCTGCCTATATGAGAGAGTAAACTAATAACAGATGTAAGATATATACAAATTAAAACAAAATTTTTAAAAAGATGAAGATGTCCAAATTTCTGTTTGAATTTCTGTTATTTTTGGAAAACAGAGTAATATGCCCAAAATAAGATAGAGTGTGAAAAGGACAGTTTTTCTCATGACACTGTTTTTTTTGTTTTTTTTTTTAAAACTACCTTCACTTGTCTGAAATATTTTTAAAAGTGTTGATTAGAATTTCAATAAAAATTAAAATTAAAAAATGATGAATAGAATTTTAATAAAACCAAAATATGAAAGTGAACTTATACATTTTCTTCGTTCTTAAGAATTGACAACAAAAATAATAAAACTATTTATTAGATTATTTACACTATTTATTTATTATATTATTAACTGGAATGATTGGCAAAACATTCGCTAATTACTAATTGATCCAAACTTTATAAAATGGTTTGGTTCGTTTTGTTTTACTGCACCTCAAAAATGTATTGCTGGTAATGTTTTTTTTTTTTAAAATGTATTGCTGGCAATGTTTTTTTTTTCAAAAATGTATTGCTGGCAATGTTTTTTTTTTCAAAAATGTATTGCTGGCAATGTTTTTTTTTTGAAAAATGTATTGCTGGTAATATTTTTTTTTTTTTTTCAAAATGTATTGCTGGTAATATATTTTTTTTTTCAAAAATGTATTGCTGGTAATAATTTTTTACAAAGTATTTCTGGTATTAAAACCTATTTATACACTTTCATAGTGTTTTGGATCCCAGTTTAGGAGGTTTAACTATTAACCCATAGCTGGGACCCTAATAGTTGCTATCACCACAGGTCAGGGTGGACCTGGGAACATCAGCAATTAAGAGGTGGTTCTGCGCCCCTCAAAACCTCCTGATCAGAGGCCTTGCTGTTGGTCATAGTTTATCGTCTTACCCAGGATGTGGATGTAGCTTATCGTTATACTCAGGACTGATTTATAAAATGGTAAATAATAAAGATTTCCTTATAGTTGGTTCACACATTTTAATATTTTAGTAATGTTATGAATAAAAATTTGTTTTCTTATTTATTTCTTTATAAATTAATAAGTGATAAATATTTCATTGGATTTTGTTCTAATTGTATTAGTTTTTACCATATTGCAAATATAAAATTATTCTTGTAACTAACTCTAATAGTGTTTAATATTTTCGTTGTGAATTCTCAATTAAGAAAAAAATTGTATAAATTTACTTCCATCTTATATTTAGGCTTTATTTCAATTCTAATCATTGCTTCTTAAAACAATAAACATTGCATAAGAGTGAAAGTAGTTAAAGAAGTAATATCATGGGGAAAAAAACTCCCTTTTGACACTATGTCTTATTGTGGGCATATTTCTCCATATTTTTTTAGAATTTCTATAAAGTGACCCATTCAAAAATATTCTCCCTACAAACTCTTCATATTTCAGATACATAGATGACTCATTATTAATATATTCACAAAACAACAATTTAACGGATTTTCTCTCCAAACTTAACAACGTTGAACCTACAATAAATTTCATTTTTGAAACTGAAACCAACTACACTCTACTGTTCCTAAACATATTACATAGAAATAATAACAAACTTAATTTTGATGTTTACAGAAAGGCTACAAACAAAAATGATCTGATCATTTTCTACTCAAACCACTCTTCTAAAATTAAATCTGGAATTATAGGTTTCTATCTAAGAGCATTAAGAATCTGCAGTCCCCAATATTTACTTAAAGAAGAAACATACATAGAAAACACACTCAAAAACCTACAATATCCATATTATTTCATTCACAACGCAACAAGAAAGGCATACAAAATATACAACCGAAACAAAAATAATAACATAATCCGCAATAATAAATTACATGAAAACAGATGCATAATACTACCGACCAACTCTGTCACGTCCACTCTCCAGAACAACCTATCTCATCTAAACAATAATCACAAACACTTCCAAACTAAAATAGTCACAAACACTTCCAAACCATTATGGATATACTCAGATTCTCAAACACTAATAGCAATAATATTTCTGAAGCAGGCATTTATAAAATAAATTGCCAAAACTGTTCCTCCCAATATATTGGAGAAACAAGTAGAAATTTAAAAAAATGCATTTATGTGCACAAAAGAGACCTCACAAAAAACAACTTAGCTAATGCACTAGTTATACATAGAAATAAATTCAACCACAATTTTGATATTAAAAATGCTATAAAAAAAGAAAATAACTCACTCAGAAGGATAATCCTCGAGAGTGCTGACATTGAATATTACCCAAATATTAATCTATGCCCAGGCCTTTTCCCTATTTCACCTTTCTTAACAGAATTACTTCTCTCCCAAACACATGTACAGAACAGTATCAAGAAATCAAAAGAAAATGGTTGAATCCGTCAATACAGCAATAAAAACAATTTCTCCACACGTGACAGTAAATGACATAATTTCAGTTAACAGTATGAAAATAGCGTTCTCTAAATTCTTCCAGTTGCTAAGGACATTTTGTTTTGTTATTATTAGTTACTTCATTTAATAAATTCATTTCATTTTGCCTTCAGAAAGTCCACATCGGATGAAACACATCGGCAACCATTACAGTTTTCCTATTGTCTTTTACATTTATAAATACTGTCTTTTTCTACAGGTTAACTCTGAGAAATTTTTCATATTTCTCCATGTTTGCCTTATTTCTTATATTTAATGCCCTCAATGTGAATTTGGTAATATAGTAAATGTGAGTTAAATCCCTGGCCCAGGTGGTACAGAATTAGACTCAGTGAAAACAGGATGAGCAGTTGCCAAGCAGTACTAAATAAGAATAAGGCAACATATCCCTAGACATTGACAGCAGAAAGAGAACAATCTATCCAAATAGATTAAATAAAGAGTTCAGTTCAAAATTCACTGAAGGTTACCAGGATTGACAAACACCTGAAGAAGGCGAAAGGACACAAAGGTTGAAATGCTGTGATGATGACAACAAAGCTGCGGACATTAATCTGAATGAAAATAATGTCCTCATCTTTGTTATTATCACAATGTTTCAGCAGTTGTGTTTTGTGACCTTCTTCAGATATCTGTCAATATTCAGGGAATTTCAAACTGAAACCTATATTTAATCTACAACAGCAGATTGTTCTTGTTCTGCTGTGCATGTCTGAGACACCTGGAGAAGGCCAGAGGGCACAATGGCTGAAATGTTGTGACAGTAACAACAAAGATTAGTTTGTAAATACGTAAATAATTACCTGACCTAATCTGGCAGATAGATTTAAATGTATAATGTAAATTTTAACTCCTATAAACATGACAATGAAAATTAGAGAAAATCATTTTGTTTCATTTGTGCATTAAAGTTAATTTTGTAGTAAAGTTTTAAGATTACCTGTTAGCATGCTAATAAGTGGGGATTCATCATCAATTTCATAACCTGCCTCACCCAACAAATTCCTGGACATCACCTGCTGATATACTTCATTTAACCAGCTAGGTGATAGGAAGATCAGAAGCCCACTATTCAATATATTATCTACAAAGGTTTCCTGAGGAAAAAGGAAAAAATAAATAAATAAATAAGGGGGGATAATTCATAACAACAAACGGCGAAGAAAATCAAACTTTTAAAATCTTCAATTCATAAAACAATTTTGCAGATCATGAACTAGTAATGGTAAAAGAAAGATATATTAGCTCTAGTCATTTGTTTAACATCAAAAATGATATCCTTTTGAACTGATTATATAAATTCATAAAATTAGGCAACACTGAGACAATGTAGGATGTGGGAAAATAAAATAAAATCAATAAATAAAATAATAGTAGAGAATAAAAAAAAGGAAACTTTTTATCATGATACTAGTAATAAAGGAACCAAAAAAGGTTTTTATTTTATGACCTTACTTTCAAAAAAGACAGGACTGTCCTTTTTCCACTTTTTAAAGCATAGCATTTGGAAGTATTTTGCAGTTTCACCCATTGTTGATTTAACCTGATGTAACTTCACCAGGCAAATAGATTTATAGGTATTTAGCAGGGTGCCCACGTTGCAATAGGATGTGACACAAGGTAGAGATTTAAGGTGGGTTTAATGGTTACACTGCACAAAAAATTGCCAAGACTCCTTGGCACTTTCTATTTTTAGGGACACCACACAACAAAACCAGTTCCCTCCCAAAGGAGAGGTACTGTATGGGAGAAAGCCCCCTGAGGATGGGGTTAAATTGAAAGAATATAAATCCTAGCTAAAGGCAATTGGATTTATAGGTATTTACCATGGTGCCCACATCACAACCAAATGTAATAAGGTTGAGGTTTAAAATGGGTTTAAAGGTCATACTATGCAAAAATTCACAAGCCCCCTGGGCACTTTCCCTTTTGGGGATGCCTCAAGCACTGGGAAATAAACCCAGAGAGAGGTACTGCCTAGAGGTGGGGAAAGGCTCCCTGGAGCTTGGATTAAAATGGATTTATTGTATTTATCAGGGCGCCAACATTGCAACCAGATGTGACACAAAACGGCAATACTGCACAAAAATTCCAAATCCTCTTTGGCACATCCTCTTGTTGCAGACACCTCAGAAGCTGGGCAATAAACCCCTCCACCTCCCAAAGGAGAAGTACTGCCTGGAGAAAGCACCCTGAGGCTTGGGTAAAGATAAATCCCAACCAAAGGCAAATGGATTTTATAAATGTTTACCAGTGCTCCCACCATGCAACAGATGTGACACAAGGTGAGTTTAAGGTGGGTTTATTGGCAGTACTGTGGAAAAATCCCCCCACCAGCACTTCCCCTTTTCGGGACACCTCATGTGCCGAGCAATAAATTCAGACCCCTCCCAAGGGAGAGATAAAGCCTGGGAGTGTCGGGGATGGCCTCCTGGAGCTTGGGTTGAAATATAAATCCCAGCAAATGGGTTTTATAAAGATAACGGACATATACAAGAAACATTTTTGTAAATTTGTAGAGTTTCTACAAAAAAAAAAAGAAAAGCTGTCTGCAGTAGATACCTAAGTGTTGCTTCTTGTTCACTTGTTTATATGTAAACATCACACACCTACAAGACACTAACATGCAAACTTTAAACACCATAACGACATTGCTTGCCAAGTAAGATTGATAAATGTAGACATAAATAAGAAATAAGCAGAAAGAAGAAAAATAATTTTTATATAAAAATAACCTTCATAAATAAAAATAAGAAAACTTTCTCACCTTGGATTCAATAACTTTTCCTTGGAAATTACTATTGTAGTAGCCATTGACAATTAGTTTAAGGTTAAATGAAAGGACAGTAATAGTAGCAACATAGATACCGTCAGCATTCACTATTACAACAGGTTCACTGTTCAATGATGGGAAGCCTGTCACCATATCTGAAAAAAAAAAAAAAAAAAAAAAAATAAGCCTGCAATCATTTAAATAAAGAAAAGAAAATTTAGAAACAGGCAAGAGCAACCGAATTTGGAGGATAGTTTTGAGAAAAGAAACTGAAGAATGAAAGAGTGTAACAATGAAAATAACTCCTCTCAATCCAAATGAAAGATACCAAAGCTATAATTAAAAAGACCAAAAACTAACAATTTTTATTTCCTTAGAATAGCACCAGATGGAAAACAAAGGTTATTACTGCAGTAATTTGATTTATTGAATGATGTTTTTTACAGCTTATCAACCTTTTGCAAGTTATTTAAAGCCAAAACGTATTTTTGGATTATAAGAATTTTTTGAAGATAATGATTTTTCTGATACAAGTTTGACTATTCAACCCATAGCTGGGAGAAGAAGAGGTGGATTCATACCATCGGGTATTTGCATGTAAGTGAATATAATGAACCTGATTGGACATTCTGGGCCATTATCCATTGCACCACCCACACATCCAAGCTTACACCAAGAAGTATTCTCAAGCAGTCACCCAGGCTTGACTTGTTTAACTTCAATGATCATACAGGAACTAGTATGCAGTAATTTGGAATGTGAAAATACTGATTTTAAGTTCTTAAAAACTAACATCAATATTGCTCTTTTTAATAAGTGAACCTTTTGCAATTTATTTATTTTTATGCTACTAATTTGAAAAACTAATATCTGAAAACCTTTTGCAATTTTCTAAGTATAGCTTAGATGTGGCACAAGGTCAAAAGTATGGAGCATGGAGGGAGGATCAAATTCTTTACTTAGTAATAACTGATCCAGTGAGACAAGCTTGCTAACCATTACACCATGTTGAAGTGCCCGGATCTGAAAACCTATAACAGGTTATTGAACCTACATTTCAAAAGTACCCACAGAAACTAAATTAAAATTCTTTTGTAATTTTATTTAATTTCAACATAATATTGTTAACATTAAATTCATTTTTCTTGAAAAAGGAGTAAAACCATTCTTTCATAATAGATTTTGTAAAGACTAGAGTGTAGTTGGTTAACTTGACATTAAAGTTAGAATTAAAACAAAGATAAAATTATCAGTTGATTTTGTCCTTTTATGAGAAAAAGGGGAAAAAAGATATCACTTGTGAAAGAATTAGAAACCATGAGAAATAATTTCCCTGATGACAAGAAATTAATTTGTAAGTAAGATTTTTGAGCAGTTTATAAATATCCATCTATCAACTCCTAAACCCACTTCAATAGTGGGTTATATTCAATCTGCTTATTTATTAATACAAATTTGATTAAAGACAATAGACAAGTTTTTTTAGTTAACTTTACTTCTTTACACACAAAAGAACGTGACTGGATCTAATGAATGTAAATCTTACCCAAATATTTGTGATCCAGCACATTTGACCACACTTTGGACATTATAAAGATCAGGGAAGAAATGGATACTATTCATTTTGCAGTTTTTTAATATATTTTTTGCTTGGTGGTCATCATTTATGAATTACAAGGATGACATACACAAGATGAAATACAAGTGAAATTCTTTGTTGGGCTGAATATATTTCATTGGTGTGATGCTAAAAGGGCATAAATACATATTTTTGATCATTTAAAAATGAGGAAACATAAAAAAGGGGCTTTTTTTCTCCGTTTAAATTTCTGGGATGAGGAGTTATTATTTACAGTGAAACTAATGTTCTCATCTAAATTATTATCACATTTTGGCCATTGTACTCTCTGGGTTTCATTAGGTGCTTGTTGATCTGGGTAACTTACTGGAAATTCTGAACTGAACCCTTTAACCTATGGTGGTAGATTGTTCTCGTTCTGCTGTCCATATTGTTTAGTTCTTCTTTAGTACTGTTCAGTTATTGCTTGCCTCAGTGGAAACAAGGGGAGCAATAACTGAGCAGGACAAAAGAAAAAAAAAAGATCTAGATAAGATATCCTTAAACATTGGTAGTAGAACAAGAACAGTATCTCTGTAAATTACCTTACTTGCTGGCATCAAGGACAGTTATTTTTTGTGAAATAAGTCTAAAAAAAATTTGCTGTGTGTCATTGGGGATGAAGGTTAGGGTTTTTGTGGGCCTATACTAACCTCAGAGGAAGGTTATCTATGCTAGAATTCCTGATGTCATGCAAATTTTTGAAAATTATTTCAGGAAAAACTGTGTCCTTGATGTCGGCAAATAAAGGGTTCAGTTTTAAATTTTGAATTGACAAGCCAGAATTTTGAAATACCTAGATTGACAAGCACCTGATGAAGACCTGAGGTTACAACATTTGAAATGTTGTGATAACAACAAAGATGAAGTTAATAGTCCGTACGTAAATAATATAGATACAAAAAGGGTGCATATCAACTTATGCCGTTTTTAGAATCACACTGACAATTTATCAGATATGTTAAAATCCAAGTTCCCAAACTGAAGATCTTATTTAGTGTTAGGTTTCTTAATTTTATGTGAGGCTTACAGAATCTGAAGCTTTTTTTTCAATTGATATTGTACAATATACCACAAATACATATGTGCACATAAGGAAAGTCAACTAAAAAACTTAAAAGTAGTATTGTCTTATGCCTTTAATTAGAATTGTATTAATGAAAGATTACTGCCTAGATATACAACATTTATACTGCATACTACACCTGCTATTAAATGAGAGTTCAAAACAAGGTGATTTGTAGATAATTATAAAGAAAAGATGTAGAGAAAAGCCAATCCATTTTCTGCAAAAGGTTAGTAACTACCAGCAAATTTCATGTCCTTACCCAAGCAAAGAAAACAGGGGTTTGGTCTTACAGTGCAGATTGTGTCTGAGGGTTTAAAAAAAAAAAATTTTTTAAAGGCACACATGAGTATAACATTTTAATATTCTTTAGACATCCTTATAAATAAGAAACAAACAAAAATACTTTCTTAGCTTGCTATTTTATTCAACTATACAATATTGAAAACAATCCAATTTTATAAAAGTACAATTACTATAAGCACTTTCTTCCTTTTTCTCCTCCATGAGATTTGTCTGAAGTATAGAACCATAGCCATACCATAGTTGCTACTATGATTTCCATAGCAAGTAGGTTTTTATGGGGTGAGTTACCAGCCCCTTGCCCAACTGACCCTACACTTCACAAGAGAGTCTACAGGACTTACATATATACAAAGGTAGATGTTTCTACAGCATGCTAAGACATGTAATGCTGTATGAACTTAGAGCAAGCAGCAATGCAGTAGAATTCTATGATGTTTATGGATAAATTCTTGAAATGAAAGAAATTGCCAAAGATGGTTTTGAAACATTTAGAAAAGGTGATTTCATCAGGAACAGCTTATTCTGTTGAGTTTACTAATGACTAGCTTTTGATCAACTTACTAGAAACAGAGCTGTTATGATTGAAGAAGTAATTAGTTCAAAAACTAAATTCAGGCCATTCAACAGTCTACCATCATAGGCAACAATTTTCAAGATAGTATCAATTTATTTTTGCTACATGACATCATAAGTTCAATGCAATGTTTCATAATTTGAAAATTTTCAGACAATATGAACACCAATGATGCATTCCAAGATCTGTTCAGATAATGTGTTGCTGGTCTTGGTATCAAAATATTTTGGCAGATCCATTCTACTATCTTGAAAGAAAGTGGACTTCTTTTGCAGATCCTTTGTACAATATGTAAAGAACAGGATCTTTTTTTGTGTTACAGAACAAAATGACTAACAGAAAATGGTAGCTCGCATACTAACTGGCTTTGTTCATTCCAACAACACAAGTCACAAATTCACAGCCACCCACATAACACAAGTGGTTTGAATTTATACCATTTAAAATTCCTTTTCTTTTGAACAAAAAAAAACACACAGTAATGAAATCTATATTAGCCTGATTTATACAACATACTGACAAATATACAGCTTTGAATTTTCTCATTTTTTATTGGTGTTTCCTTTCAGCAATTTCTAATCCTAGTGACGGTAATGTGTTTTTTTCTCTCTCCAAATATGATCTGCTATACCAGATCTACTAATGACACACTTCTAAGCAGCATGTCATATTGATAAAAGACTAAAGCTGATGTATTAAATCAGGCAGGATAAATTTCTTTGTGTATTCTATAAACAAATAAAGTAAGGATATTGGTTGAAATAATTTTTTTATCAAATCGTAACAAAACCTTATTATTAAAGTTCCTGCTGAGATTTAAATTTAAAGTTGACATATATTGATTGAATTTAGGATATCAGAGTCAGGAGTCTGAAAATGTGGCAATCTAGTTTCATTTAAAAAAACAGTTGATAATAAAGTAAAAGTAATTTATTTAATTGATTCAGAATAATTATTCCTAATTTTTTTTTCTGGGATGCATTTTCAGAATGAAAATTTGCTTGCACCTCACCGAATTCTATGTACATTTAAATTACATTTAAAAATAAAAAAACAGAGTTAAAAAAAAAAAACACATACTAAAAGGAGATAACGGCGGATTCAAAGTCAGAACATTATCATTGATAACTCTCCCCTCCAATTTGCGGATCCTAGTTACTATATTCTTGAGGCTTGATATAATGCAAAAATATCACAATGATAAAATCAGTCAATAATTATTTATAACTATTTATACTGGGACTCATGCATGCAATTACAAGTAATCCATAATAATATTTTAAATTTTGAAATCATATTTATTTTTGGCGTATAAATTTTTTGAAACTGTTTCTAAATCCTTGATTGTCTTTTAATCATTACACCTCACCTGCTATCTTCTTTTGCACCATTTGGGAACCACTGAATTAGAACATACCTGAGCAGAACTTGGAAGCAAATTCCTGGAGAGTGTTATCCATCTGACAAATGGACATAAGGTTGAAAAGACGGGGTAGAAGTTTTGATAGTCTGTTGATGAATTCTTGGGCATTGGCTCTCTCTGCAGCATCACATTTTTCAGAAAGAAATGCCCTACTTGGTGTCACTGTGACATTAGTCTTGGTATTTTGATCTTCATCCTCTTCTGATGGGTGGGTTGTACCATCCAATGTTTTAGTTGGAGACACATCCATAACATATTCGCTGCTTACAACAGAGCTATTACTGCAGGTATCTTCCTCTTTATCTATGTCAGATGCTCCTTCATCAGGAAGATTGCTGTTTTTCACATCTTCAGCTTTGAGGCTGCTTTCTGGTTCAGGATTATCGACAGCAGAGTCTTCAGCATTTTCACAGTTGTCAACTTCTGTGACAAAACCAGAATTCACATTTTGTTCACCAGAATGTAAATTTTTGTACTCATCTGAGACAGAAAAAATATAGAGAGATTAATTAAAAATATTATTTTTACTTATAGATAATTGCATTAAAAATAAATGAGGATTATAGCTTTGTGACAATCACAATTTCTTTCCTAACAAATTATTATTGTAACAGTCATAAACTCTTGTTAACTGCTTATTATGAAAATATTTATTAATTTTTTTAAACAATGCACCCCCAAGCAAAACAATAATGCCACTAAGACACAAGAGGTTACTGGGAGTAAAAGAGAATGAAGCAGACTTTAGAAGGAACTGGAAACCCAATCCTAAACATAGAACAAATGATAAGCCTCTACTCCTGTTTAAAAAAGAAATGACTGGGGATGGGGATGGATGAGTGTGAACCTATCTACTCCAAAAAAAAAAAAAAAAAAAAAAAAAAAAAAAAAATCAATAAATAAAATTTCAGAGTTGAGTTGATGACATTAGAAGTACAGTGTGGAAGTAGACTTTAGAAGGAACCAGAAACACAATCCTAAACAGGAAATAAGGGATAAACCTTTATCTTTTAGGGTTCTTTTAAAATTTATGTTAAAAGCATATAATAAATCTATTAGTGCATTTTTATTTCTGATAAAGATATGATACACTAGCATCTTAAAAAAAAAAAGAAAAAAAAAAAAAGAAGCATATTGAGTTTAATCCATATTAAATTTAGTTACAAATACAAGCTTTATTAAACAAAGAACTGAATAATTATATATTTTTAGTTCTTCATTTAGTAAGGTTTGTATTTGTAACTAAATTTAATTAATATGTATTTAAGATTTCCACTTTGTCTTAGATTTTTCTAAAATTTTTCTCAGTATATAAAAATTTATATATTGTTTTCCAATATATATAAAATGGCTGCTCATTACTGAGTACACTCATCTACTCTCCAGCTTTCAACTCAGTTATGTGGAAGTGACAAGTCAGGTGCTCAGCTGTGCAGTGACCCTATGACTACACCCAATCATGGGACTGATGAAAAAGCTGCAGTATAAAAATGATTTCCTAACACTGATCAGATTTTGAGTTGTGTAGAACATTACTTTTTCCTTTTTTAATGATTTTTACTCATTAAAGTTATCAAACAATCTTTTTTTTGTTAATGCCATGTCTCTTCAGGGCATCATGACTCTATATTCCTTACCATTATTATCTGTGAATTGCCATGCATTCTTAGGAAGGATAGTGGAATGGTTTCTTTGTAACCTAAGCAGTTTGAAATTTAAAATTTTTCTTCCCTTAGACTGGTTGCCACCAAAGGCTGGAGAGCCTAGTCTACCTTGCTATTTAACCTATAGCTGGAGAAGAAGAGACAGATTTAAGCCTTTTCCAAAATATTTGTGCAAAAGTGAACACAATAAACTAACCCAGAATTTGAACTCAGCTCACCAATTCCACTTTCTGTGCTGTTAATGTTACACTACCCACACATCCTTATGAAACAATACATCTTTAATAAATATAACAATACTTTGCCTATTTAAACATGTAGATACAAATTTGTGCAGATCTTTGATTGATTTTGTCTATGATAATAAATATTGACTTTCTCACCTGCCATTGACATACTTTTATATTTTCGATTGATCTCTCGTACCACTTCATCTGGTATTCCTACACCCCGGCAAAGCTTCTCCAATGTACGCAACAAAAGTGTAATACATTCAACACTGGTAATACAAACAGCTGAATCATTGCAATGACAGCATTCTTGAATACCATCAACAATTCTGTATGAAGAAAAAAAAAAAAACAGATTTATCAAAATTCTTTAACTTATCCTAAAAATCTTAGAAGATATTCATAAAGACAGGAACATCTGAGGAAAAAAATCTATATTTATTATAAAATATATTATAATTTATAGCTGCTATATTACATTGAACACTATTTTATTAACACCAGCATGCAATGTGTGATATATATATATATATATATGTGTGTGTGTGTGTGCAAAATTACCATAAAGAGATAGTTCAAGAAGGAGAAAAATAAAAAATAAAAGAAAGCTGATTGGTTAGCATTCTTCACTCTTCAGAGTAAATAAAAAAAAGAAAAGTAAAAAGATGTTATATATATGTATGATGGCTGACATCTTGCTGTTGAGTATAACCATTGCAAGACTTAATTATTACTTATAATATCAAGCAATGTCTGTGCCTGAAATTTTTAGAGTGGAGAAAGACTTAAGTAGTTGATTCTTATTCTTCTTTTAAAAAAATACGACAACAAATTTTGCCATTTTTCTTCTCTTGTAGTTGGCACTGTTTCTCATGTCTTTTGACCACTGTCTTTCTTCCCTTCTATCAAATAATCATGGAATATCCACACATTCACACACTTTCATATGCAATGCCCTTTCAAGATGTGAGAGATCATGACTCTAAAATTTCCTATCTTTTGTTGTTCTAAGTAACTTTTGTTTATCTATCTTTGTGTCTCTTGTGCCAGTCATTCACACTGCTTCGCTGGCCTTTACTGTCCTGTGAGTCTTAAATTCTACTTCTTCCTCATTATGTGTTCCAGAAATTGCAACTGTCTCTTTCTGATTGTTAGAGGTTGGAATTCTTATTCCCTTTAAAACTTCTTTGTTACTCACATGTTCTAACAATTGTAGTATTTGTTAGTAAAATTTAAAAAAAAACACTCATCTGTTGCTTCAAGTCCCTTCTTCCCATATTAAGAGATTATTGGCTGGTTGAATTTGTTTAGCAGCATATCAACCTCTATGGGTTATTTAATGCTAAAATCTAAATATTTTGAACACAACTTTATGCATTCAATTGAATACATTTTGTACATAATTTTATACTTTCAGGGTAAAGGTATGTTTGTTTTAGATATATAGTTTGTATATCATAAAATGTATTGTTGCTAATTTTACTATAAAAATGTATTTTTATATTTTTTTTTTAGTGTTGCATTGTCATTTTGCTATAAACATCTATTGTTGCTCATTTTATAAAAATGTACTGTTGGTTTTTGTTTGCAAGTTCCTTATTTACCCATAGCTGGGACCCTAACAAGTGCTGCCACTCTTGGTCAGAGTGTACCTGGGACCAACAGCAGTTAAGAGGTGGTTCCACACTAGTCAAAAGCTCTAATCTCCTGATCAGAGATATTGCTGCTGGATGTAGTTTATCGTCATACACAGGACGATGAAAAGATTGTCCAACATTTACTACTATATAGGAGATTAGATATTAAAAAGATATCTTTCCTTACTTTCTAATATTTTCCTACTCTTTAATACACTGATTGGTTCTGAAAAGCATCTTTAGCTATTCTTATATGCCCTCAGATTTCTGTGTCACACTTTCTGTTGCCTGTTATTACATTATCCAGATAATTAAATTTCTGCTCCTGCTTCATTTTGGCATCCCCAATATGTAGTTCACAAATTGAGTTGTATCTTTTACTGATCATACATTCAATCTTCTTACATTTAATGGTTAGTCATTTATCCTTGCTTTCCAATACAAGCTTTTTTTAATATTAAATATGTTTTTGTAGTAAATGTTTGATGCTTTCATGAAGTCTTAGTGTAGATAAGAAAAAATAGGCATTTTTTTTCAAGTCAATCACATTTAATGTAAAGCTGGTTAAACAGTTTGTGAATATCAATGATTTTTTTTATATTGAAAAAAATAACAACAAATTTTGAAATGTTACTTACAATTTCATGAGTGCCATATCAGATTTACAATTAGATTGCTTTTTGGTACTCCCAGGTTCAATTCCTGTTGGAGCAGCAATATCCAAAACACCTCTTGGAGAACTGAGTAACTGAAGAAAAATCCAGAATTAATTGAAGTGTATTACAATAATAACTAAAATAATAAAATCTGAATATAAGATAAATTTTTATACTAAACAGACAATGTAGGTTGCCACCAAAATCATAGTTTCAAAATTCAAAACTTATTTGATTCCTTGTTCTGTTTTTTTTTTTTTTTTGTTAATATTAGAATTCACCCAACACAAGGCTCTGGAGTGACTCAAGGTAAAGAGTTACTGTTAAAATGGTAATGATGAATAAGGTGTGTTTTATGAATGAAAAGTGGTAGGAAATGAAGTTTATGAAGTTAAAGATAGATAGGAATTGACCCATTGTCTGTGTTTGCTGTAAATGAGTGGAGCAGTATATACTATTTTTGGTAATATTTTTCCTTCAAAAATGTATTGCTGGTAATAAATTTTTTTTTTTCAAAATATTGCTGGTAATAATTTTTTTTTTTTTAAATATTGCTGGTAATATTTTTTCCTCAAAAATGTATTGTTGGTAATATTTTTTTTAAAAATGTATTGCTGGTAATATTTTTTTCAAAAATGTATTGCTGGTAATATTTTTTTCAAAACTTTATAGCTGGTAATATTTTTTTCAAAAATGTATTGCTGGTAATTTTTCTTCAAAAATGTATTGCTGGTAATAACTTTTTACAAAGTATTTCTGGTATTAAAAAACATTTTTACACTTTCATAGTGTTTTTACATCTTGTTTATGTATTAGATTTCGTGAATTCTTGTTGAATTTATGCTTAGTGTGTGAAGTGTCCATACTTTCTATGCTCGCCAGCTTATTAGCATTTTGTTCCTTGTTATGTTTTGTTCTTTGAATTTCTTTTGTTTCTGCTTGTTTGATTTTGTTGCCTTAGTTTTTCCATTCAGTTCTTTTAATGATCTTTGTATGGATGATGACTGTTCACTTGTTTGTGATGGGCTAGAGTTTTGTTCCTCTATGTCCATTTTTCTTGATCCTACACTAAATTTTTTTTTTTAATGATTCTCTTAATGATTAATTATTTGATTCTCTTGAGAATGTTTAGAGGTTTCTATTTCTTGGAATTTTCTACTTTGGTTTGGAATTTTTGGATTTAATTGTTTTGTACATGTAGAGTCTTTTTTTTTTTGAGGTTGATGGGACAGGATTTTTTTTGTCTATGGGAGTTTGATTTATGAGTGATAAACTACATTTTAGAAGTTCTATTAAACCTTTTAATTCATTAATAAGAGTTATAAGATCTTGGCTCCTTAATGCATTCTTTTCTTATATGTCTTTTTGTTGATGTGATATTTTAGTGGTATTTGCATATGATGCTTGAAGTGAATTTTTGGCTTCTTGGAATGAGATATTTTGTGTGTATTTTCTTCTAATTATTTCCTTTTCCTTTTTCCAAATGTTACACTCTTTGGAGTCTGCTGGATGTTTTTCTTTACAGTTTGGACATAAAGGATGCCTTTCACAAGATGATTCATCATGCTCAGTTTCCAGTTCCTCACATCTTCAACAGACTGATGTTCTCATACAAACATTTTGACGATGACCAAATTTTCAACATTTATGACATCTACGGGGATTAGGAATGTATGGCTCTACCTTGGCTATTGTGTGTAACCAATCTTTATTTCTTTTGGTAGAGTCGGTTTGTCGAATGTCAAAATGTATGTGTTGGTGTTTATTACTGTGTCATTTATTACTTGAATTCTTTTAACATCTGTTACTCCTTGATTTTTTAGGGTGTCATCAAAGTGACAGTTCTGGGCATTTTATTACTCCTTTTGATGAATTAAGAAATTGATGGGGGTAGGCCTTGACTTTATTGTTGTCAAGTTGCTTGATTTTTAGCAATTTCTCTGCATCTTTTTTGGATATCACTTGAATTAATAGAGTATTATTTTTTTCCTTATTTTTATTTATTTTTTTTTTTAACAGATTGTGGTTTGATCATATCTGAAATAATCCTTTACAATATGAAAGGAGACACTTTTGATATATTACCCTCTACTTATTTTACAAAAATGAAAGTTGGAAATTGATATTTTTCTATTTCATTTTCGCTTTCAGAAGTCTCATATTCTCTCTTGGTTCACTTATACAAAATAGCCATATAATTTTATTTTTCGTATTTGCTGTCTGTGCTCCCCACCCACCTCAGAGTTCTTTCTTAAGGGACACTATCAGGGGGGACTAATCCCATTTGCCCTAATCTGCCAGGGCTACACAGTATATTTGTGATGAGAGTGGATACAAACACCCGCACTCCCCCACCATATCTACCCAAGTATAGTATGATGTAAGGTTTTGTGGCCCTGTCAGACCCATTATCTATCATCCCAACTAGTCCTTGCCACTATGTGACTAACCAGTTGAAATGGATTTGACTATTTCATCCACCCGTCTATTCCAGGTAGGGACTGAAGTGATATGTTGTGGAAACACCTTGTCATTTTATACCTGCTCAAGAGTCACTCAGTCACCAGGACTCCATCCTCAGGCATCACGGGTTGCACTTTATATACTACGACTTGTGTTGCTGGTATTATCATTACAAAAAACCCATTCTTACACTTTCCTAGTATTCAGACTCCAGTTTGAGGGAGGAGGAAAACTATTTACCCATAGCTGGAACCCTAGCGGGTGCTATCCACCCTGGGTCAGGGTAGACCTGGGAACAACAGCAACTAAGAGGTGGTTCCATGCTCCTCAAAACCTTCTGATCAGAGGCCTTGCTGCAGGATGCAGTTTATCGTCATACCCAGAACAATTATTTAGAATTATTAGTCAGCAATAAACTAAAATGTATTGTCTATAATTTAAAAGTTCTTCAGTCATGTGAGTTGTGCATTCTGTTGCAGATGGAGAAAGTATTTACTCAAATAATTTTATCTGGTCCTGGAGCAACTGTGGTTTCATGACAACCAATAATAAAATTGATATTTGAGAGTTTCAAAAGAAACAACCCACTGTCCATAAGTAGAGAAAAAGAAATAAAATATATAAATAAAAATTTTCAGGATCAAATGACACTTGACCAGAAGGTAGGGTAGGCCAGTCATAAGCTTTTATCATCAGGCCACTTTCTAGATAAAGACAATTAGAGAGAGCTACAGTTGGAGTCTGAGTTATGGATAGAGTAAGAATAAAGTTCTCACTAGCTGAAAGAAAGATCTGGTTTGTTAGTCTGTCATGAGAGAAGACAGAACTAGCAGTGAAGATGTCTCAAGTCTACCCCCAGACAATATCAGATGAATCCATGAATAAAGAACCCAGTAAATCAAAAACAGGATTTGTTTTTTTTTTTTTATCAATGTGGCAATATTTTGTCTTCTGTTCCATTGGTGAGCCTATGTCATGCCTTTCGCAGTTTAGTTTTTGTTTTATGGCATATCAACCTCAATGGGTTATTTAATGCTGACAAGATTTTTATTGCTGGTTAATATTTATTTTCTTCAAAAATGTATTGCTGGTTAATATTTATTTTCTTCAAAAATGTATTGCTGGTATTAAAACCTATGTTTTGACCCCAGTTTGGGAATTAACTATTTGCCCATAACTGAGACCCTAACAGGTGCTGCCACCCCAAGTTAGGGTAAACCTAGGAACACCAGCAATTAAGAGGTGGCTCCACGATCCTCAAAACCTCCTGATCAGAGGCCTTGCTGTTGGATGTAGTTTATTGTCTTACCCAGGATGTGGATGTAGTTTATCATCTTACCCAGGATGCTTTCCCAGTTTCAATTCACATCAATGCAAAAGGAATTGAACCACAGCATGGAGCCGAAGCTGACCAGTCAGCAAAAAAACTGTCAGAGCAATGCTGTCACATGTTCACAGTGTTCCTTTTTTAAAAAAACATTCTTCAAAGCTGTGGCATATAAACTAACTTATAATTCCTTAATAATCTTAAATTATTATAGAAGACAGCTCTATAAATACAGCCTACATCTAAATATATATAAACTTTTCATAGTCAAGATGTTAAAAGTTTTAGAGGCATAATCATTTAAAATTTTGAAAATAGTTACCATAAATAGTTTTTGAATTTAAGGAATACTACACCAAATGCACAAGACTACAAGACTTGACTCATATTTAGAGATTTATTTAAGTAAAAAAAAGAAAAAATAACTTACTACTTTCATTCCTTTTAGAGCATCATGTCGATGTTGTGGGGGAGGATAGAGCAACATGCGATGAAAAAGTGACTCCAAAACTGGACGAAGAGAACCAATTGGTCCAACGAGACGTACAAGTTGAATAGCAATACTACAAAAATAACAGAGAAAACCACAAAAAAGTTTAAATTACTTCAATGTAATTCTGTCCTTATAGCTTAATTTTTGTGTAATAATATCAAGCCAGTTGGGTTAATTTTGCTATGACCTTTTTCTTATTTGAATTATTTTTAGCTAAAGTTCAATGAAATTACTTTTTTTGAATGGATAATTTAAATTATTTAAAACAGCTACCAATGTATATCATTTAAAAATTAATATCAAAGCATGTATATAAAACAAAATTCAGTTTTTGTACTGGGAAATTTTCCTGTTTCTTAATACTTTGCTTAGCTTTTGGAAGTCACCTTTCACTATCCTAATGTGCCAGATTTCATTCTCACATTTTCTGTCATCTGTTAGAACACTTCCTAGATATTTAAATTTTTGTATTTACTTGATTTTGGTATCTTCAATTTGTAATTCGAATGTTGAACTTGTGAGTTGTCGAGACGAAACAAACCACCAATACTGATTACAGGCATTGAGAATTAATCGCCTAGAATGGTCATATTATCAAAATAAAAGTAAATGAAGTAATAAGGTTATACTTTTAAAAATACATGTGAATATATCAAATCACTTGGATTAAAATCAGAAAGAGTTATTAGAAAACAAAGATATTAGAAGAGATGAAAGAATAGGTCCCTTAGTAGAGAATCAAGAAAAAGGCAGATGGATAGTAAATGTAGACATTTAACAGGATTCAAGTAAAGTTTGAAAATTCTTTTGTCACTTAGCTATGGACTTACATAGTGAAGGTCTCACTCTCTATGCTAATGACTGATGGTATAGAGTATAATTCTGAGTTTTAATAAATAAAATCAAAGTATGGATTAGACCAATTATTTATTACTTGAAATAATACTTCATAAACTATAGAAGAATTAAAAAAAAAAAAAAAAAAAAAAAAACAAATACAAAGGGGTTGGTCAGAAATTCTCAGCTCAACCTATTTAAAAAAAAAAAAAAAAAATTTCAATGACCAAACATTGGAATATTGATTTTGAGAAGTGGGTCAAGCATAATAACTTTTCAGCACCCCTTGTATTTATTAGTCAAAACCAATATTAAAATGGTCTCTGAGGAAATGGATATTACTTACTTGTAAATGACTTTTGTTGTTGTTGAAGCCAAGTTTGGTCCACTGGTAGAGCAGCCAGACCCACGACCCATTTCATCCACATTTGGCCGTTGAGTTACAATACTCCGTTCGCACTTTGGTGTACCCAATAGAGAGATCAACGATGGACACAAATGTTTCCTTTAGAGGAAAGCAAGTATTTAAGAATTAATATATTTGTTGTGAATATGGATTATCTCCTCTTAGATAATCCAAGCTATAAAAGCTGTATACTTCCGCTGTCAAGTCAGATGAGTAGTAGTATTCTTAATTGAATAAACGATTACTAGACAGAATCTCTTGTCCTGTTTTCATTACAATATTGATAAAAATAAAGTTTGTCAGAATTAAATGAATGAGCATTTAATTTAATAAACAAGAAAAGAAAATTTCTGTCTGAATTTCTGGGATGAGGAGTTATTATTTTTACTATTTATATTCAGACTATTGTCCTCATTTTTCTTGTTATCACGTTTTGGTCACTGTGCCCTCAGGCTTTCCTCAGGTGTATATTTATCTGGGTAAGCTACAAGGAATTCTGAACTGAACCCTTTATTTAATCTGGGGGTGGTGGGTAAACTGTTCTTATTCTACTGCTCATGTCTAGGGATATCTCGTCTAGTTCTTATTTTTATTTAGTACTGTTGAGTTATTGCCCACCTGTTTCCACTGAGTTTACACACTTTTATCCACTAGCAGTTAAAAGCACTGATTTGTGAATTTGGTGACATAGTAATTGTGAGTTCAATCCCTGGGTTGGGCAGTGTGTACTTGCCCTCAATGGATATGGACGAGCAATAACTCGACAGTACTAAATAAAAATAAGAACTAGACGAGATATCCCTAGACATGAACAGTAGAACAAGAACAGTCTACCCCAGTTGATTAAATAAAGGTTTCAGTTCAGAATTCTCTGTAGGTTATCCAGATCGAAATACACCTGAGGAAGGCTGGAGGGTACAATGGCCAAAATATGATAATAACAACAAAGATGAGGACAATAGTCTGAATATAAATAGTGTAAATAATGAAAAGAAAAATATATATTTTTCTAACTGCATTTCTAAATTAATAAAATGGCACATGAAAAATTGTAATTGGAAAATAAACAGATTCTAATGCAAGCCAAATCATTGGTTTTCCATCATTTACTATTAGAATCATTAGTAATATGATTACCACTATCACAGAACATGCCAGTAGTACTTTATGATACCATAAACTTTGGTTTTCCGTCAGTGTGGAAATGCCAGATAAAAATGTAGCCTTATCATATATTTCTTTGTGCATGTATAATTAAATGTATTCAATTACTTTCATTGATTTTTATGAATGAACAAAACAAATTCAAATATTTTGGGAGAAATGAAAATGACACTTACCATAACAGTTCTATAAACTCATTCTGAACACCTAAAAACTTTTTAGAGTGGGTCAGCACAGCAAGGACACCTTCAAGTAGCACAGGAATAGCTTGCTTCAAAGAACTTGAACTATTGCTTTAAAAAAATATAATACATATATATAAATTCTTTATAATTAAAAAGTGAAACAAAGCTACTTTTCTAATTATACTATATAATAATGGAAATATTAGCAAGTGCAAAAGATTGATTGATTCGACTTTTACAACTTAACCCTTTGTGGGTTATTTAAAGCCAAAACACATTTTGGATTGTGAGAATAATTCTTTTTTTTTTTTTTTTTGGTAAGTGAATATTGCATTAGTAATTTTTGAGAATAACAATGACTCTTTTTCCAGATACAAATTCTACTAATTTACTCATAGCTAAAGTGAGGTGATGGATTCATACCTTTCTGAGGGGGTATTTGCATGCAAGTGAATGTAATGAACCAAATTAAAATTTAAATGGTTCTCTGATTTCTTATTCTGAGCCACTATCCATTACTCCACCAACACTTTCTAAGTGTAAAATAAATAAGAAAACAAAACTTTTCATATAATTGCATAGATAAAAAATATCAATTTTTTTTTCTGTGGTATTTGTTGGATAACAGCTAAAATGATTTCAATTACATACTAATATTAGAGTTACTATGAACTAGCAAGGTAGTTCATATTCATAAATTTTAAAGACAAACCTAAACAATATGAGGGATGCTTGGTTGTAAAGATTTAGAAATTAATCAATTTACTTTAGGTAGCTGGTTTTCAAAATAGTAAATAAAGTATATATTTAATTCCTAATCAATTACGAAATTTCATAAAAAAAACAATTGAAGTGACTGAAATCATCATTTGATTTTAAAATAAGAATTGAATTTCACCTTTTAAGTTTTAAAATAGAGTAACAAAAGAAAGTTTAGTAACATGATGGTAAATGTGACATTGAAATCCAAAGGCACATTGAAATAGCAAAATATGCCTACAGAAACGAAGTCATATATTAAGACATAGGAAAATTTCATTAGAAACATTAAGAAAAGAGTTATACAGACAGATGCTTAGAATACCATAGACTGAACATGTGAGCAATGAGGAAGTTTTAAATAAAATGGAAAATAAAGTTGAAATTTCTGGAGTATATACAGACAGCCTGGAAAATGTAACTCTCACAAGATTATTGAGAGAAGGAAGGGCAGAGCAAAAGTGAGTAACTTACCTAATGAGTATGTGTGCATAGATGGCAGAACAGGGACAAAGAGGGATGAGTCAAATATTGCTTAGCGTTACAAGAGATAGGAAGCCGTGGAGAAGTATGGTCGCCCACATTCTGAAAGGGCAGGGCACATAAAAAAAGAATGAAAGGTTGAAAGGCAATCTATATGTGCCCTAACATACAAAACTCATGGTATAATGTACTATTTACATGCAAGAATGTAACAGTATTTTCAGCATCACTTACATCTTTTTCTTCTATATGCTGTGTACTTTCAGGACATGAGAGATCATGGCTCTCCACAACTTCCTATCCTTTGTCATTTTATCATCCATCCCATTCTGCCATCCATTCACAAGCTCATCAGATAGGTGGCCCACTGTTTCTCCCGGTCTTTTTTATCATCAATATGTCCTCTGTGTGCCAAAATCTTCAAGCCCTCCTGCCTCATTATTTGTCCAAGAAATATCAGATCTTTCTGATTCTGAGTATAAGCATCCTTTTTGTTTCTATTTTCCTTAAGACTTCCTTTTTGCTTCATGTTCTGTCTATGGTATTCTCAGCATCCTTCTGCAGAACTATTCTATTATATAGTTTACAAAATACAATGAATTTAGAAAAATAATCAGTAAAATAGCAAAATAGGGAATAAAATTGTCTTTTGAGTTGTGGATACTTTCAAATGACTGGACAATGGAAGAGTCTTTATTCCTATATATTCTTGAGGGAGAACCTATGTACATTTTCTTTGGTGAGAATCTCTATTCCTACATTTTCTTGAGGTTCTTTATAAATGATAGCTAATGCTTACCTTTGGGTTTCTTCTAATTTGTCAGTAAAGAATTTCAGCATATAGATAACTTCTTTCAGTACTGTATCAACATTTACTTGATTGTCTATAACATAAAAAGAAAAAGGATGTTTATAACAGAGCACATAATTTAGCTTTAAAATTTGAAGTAATTTACTAATTACTGCTGAGATACATGTTTTTTTTTATACAAGATTTAAGATCCAGTAGAAGAATGATTTTCTGGTATACAGATATTTAGAAGGTCGACTTGAAATGTATTCAGTCATTTTGAATACGTTGGGAACAAGTTGCATGGCCATGATATAACTCGACAACTATTCAAAGACCTTACTATACATTTATGAACAGACACTCTCCTCTATGGTTGCTCAGTTAGCAGAGAGATACCATTGCCTGAGTTTATGTATGGTGTAAGTGCCACATTCACAATGACTGAATGTAGTGAAAGTCTACCATAATACAAGTCTTTATCAGCAGTCAAAATTCTTTAACCCTATATAATTCACTTATCAAAAATCCCAAATATCACAACTCCCTTCAGTGAATAGCTCGCTTACTCACTCAAGTCCTGTACACTCCAAGTAGGTTTTTAACAGGATGCAGTTGTTAATGCTATGACAAACTGGTTTTGAATTTAGAGTTGCCTTTCTCCTTGACTGACTGCTAACCAAGGCTGAAGAGGCCAGTCTGCTATACATTTAATCCATAGCTAGGGTGAGAAGAGATGGATTCATGACTTTCCACAGAGGTATTTGCATGAAAGTGAACGTAAAAAACTTGACTGGAATTTGAACTTAGCTTGCTGATTTCTTGTTCTGAGCTATTAACCATAATACCATCTGCACATCCTCAATAAGTTGCACTAAGATATCAGTCATTAGTCATTTTGGAGAATTTGCATATGTTGTGATATCTGTGTATATAAGTCTCAAAAAACTATGTGCTCAGTTTGCAAGATGACAATAAACCAGTGCATATGCTACGGGGGTGGGTGATTTTTCCTGTTGAGCAAGTTCATGAGTCTCTCCACTATGATGAGCAAATAGTTTCATGTCTCATGCAAATTTTGGGAAAGCAAAACATTTCATCATCAAGATCCCTATAGTCCAAATTTGGCTCTTTACTACTTCTGTTTTTTTTTCTTTACCAAAGCTAAAAATTGTTGTGACATATATGAGATTAAGGAGAATGCAAGCTAATGGTGGCCTCAAAAGAGGACTTTGTAGGTTGTTTTGAAGAGTGGAAGGGACACTAGGTTAAGAGTATAAAGTCCAAGTGCATTGGAATTAAGGCACCATTGCCCTAGGTAGGCTATTTTTTTTTTCATTCATATTAAATGGCTGGATACTTTTTAAACAGATCTCATATGAATCATCTAAGGAAAAAGTTCATTTTCTACTGATAAATGAAGTTACCTAGTTATTTTGTTAAGTATGTAGACAAAATAGATATATCCATTCAAAACAGACCTTCATATTATGATTTATTTTGTAGTTCATTTTTTTTCCTATGCTAATAATAATTTAACAAAATGAATATCATTCTCCAGTCTTTTGAACAGGAGCAGACATTTATTCCTTGTATTCTGTTTATGATTGGGTTTCCAGTTCTTTCTGAAGCCTTCTCATTCTCTTTCACTCCCAGTAGCCCCTTGTGTCTTAGTGGCATTATAATCTTGTTTGGGGTGAATTAATAATAATAAAAAAAAAACTCATGTTCCACCTAAATTGTATTGAAAACATATTTAAGGCTGTAATGTTTCACATAAAAGATATTTTTTTCTTTCATATAGGTCAACATATTTGTCCAAACTTTGATAAAGAAAGTTGATAAATTTAAAGACCACTGCATAATTTAATATTTTAGTCTTAAAACTAAATATCTGATTTTAGTAATTGATATGAATATTTTATACAACAGGAGACAAAACAAAGTCATTTAAAAATATTTATTAAATATTAACAGTGGTTCCACCTGCCAAGCAGTCTTTCTTTTTTTGTTGACCCCAAAAGGATCTACTCATTCTGAAAATTGTTTTTATGCATTAAAATTTTTATCGCAGAATCTGGTAGGCCTGAAAAATCCTTTGCAGCACTCTTCAGTGTTTGAGGATTTCCGTGACCAGAGATTGAGGATGAATGCAAATGCAGATAATTGATTTATTTGTTGTTTAGGACAAATGCAACAGTTAAATGTTGTGAAAAATATTCTATTCAGATACAGTTATCTAGTGATATGGAGATTTGACAATAAATGACTGCATTATCTGCATAAATTATAAGATTATCAGTTCATTCTCTAAAAATTTTATATCCTTTGGAATTCTCCATTACTCATGCTTACCAGCCTAGAAACATAAACATAGTTCCAAACATTTTATAAAGTCAGATGATCAGTTCAAATCTTCTGAAAATTCAATGTATAATTGTTGAATTGATGTATTCACTAAGTACTTTCATCATTTCTTGACATATTAAAGAATGTGTTTTAAAATAATTATACATGGAAATAAAGATTTATGCAAAGATCTTATGGTTTCTTGAATCTTTCTCTGATGGGAAAGTATTAGAAATTGATTTCTTAGTAAAATCTATAGGGGAAAATAATAAATAAAAGATATTTATTTTAAAATATTTAAAAATAAAAGATAGTTATCTTTATAAAAAAAAATTGTTTAGAAATTACTCTGCAATCATTTTTCAAAACAATGATATTGTCTGTTTTTTTTTTCCAATTTTGGGAGAAGAGAAAAATATAAACAAAAGATCAAGTTGTTCTCTCAGCAGTTAAAATAGAAACAAAGATGCTTTGAGTCATTAGTACAGGCAAAGTATTGAGCATTCAATTCTTTGTAAATAAAAAAAACAAAAAAAAAACTAATGCACAGATTTCTATGCAATTTTTGATGAAGTGTTAACAATATTAATCAAAATCTACTTGGTGTTGCCTTCTCGTTTTTTCAGTTTGACAAGGTCCTAAATGGTTAACAAAGTGGATCTTAAAAAACAAACTTGGCTAGAGGTACCATTTAAATTTGTATTTAATAATCTATTAAAAAATAATTTTTAATGTTCACTTTGTATTGTTTCTGAAACATTTTCTTTTAAACTTGTATAATCAAGTACATTTTTAAATGAACCAAATTCTGATTTGTTATCGTATCAACCATAAAACATTTATTAAAGAAAAGCCTCAGTTTAAATACTTGATTCTTTTAAATAAACATGTGGCTACAAGTTTAATCAATCTATCACCACCGCAAATATAACTTCAGCACTTTGAATTTCTGGGATGAGAAATTATCATTATTTACCTTCAGATTAATGTTCTCATCTTTGTAGTTATCACAACATTTTGACCATTGTGCTCTCTGGCCTTCTTCAAATGTTTACCTATCCAGTAACCTTCAGAGAATCTTGAACTGAACCCTTTATTTAATCTACATCTGGGCAAAATTGGACATTTAGTGGAAGCAGAAAAACTGTCAAAAGAATGTTTTTATTCATTGACACCATTATTATTTTAACTACCTCCACTCATTAGAATAGGTTATTGTTTTGAAAAGTAATGATTAGATTTGTAGTAAAACCTAAACATATGATGAAAGTGAATTTATATGTTATTTTTATATTCTTGAGAATCAGCAACAAAAACAATAAACACTATTTTTTATTAAATTGTTTATTGGAATGGTTGGAAACATTAGATAATTGTTAACTGATTAAAACTTTATAAAATGGTAAATAATGATTTCCTTAGAGTTGGTTCACATATTTTAATAATTTAGTAAATATTTATAAATTTATGAATAAAAAAAATGTTTTATATTTATTTATTTATATATTGGTAAATGATAAATATTGCATTGCATTAGTTTTAATGCAATTGCATTAGATTTTAGAATGTTTTAAATATAAAATTATTCTTAAATAGTGCTTATTATTTTAGTTGTAAATTCTCAGGGACAAAAAAAATGATGTATAAATTCCCTTTCATCATAGGTTTATGTTTTATTACAATTCTTCATCACTTTTTAAAACCATAAACATTGTTGAGGAGTGAAGGTGTTAAATAATAGTATAGCAGACTTATTTTTAGAGGAAGTGTATTATTGCTCAGGCTTCTTGAAGTTGACGTTAGGGATCAGATAGAAGACAATAAAAGGAAGTCGATTTTGATTGGCTGAACAAGCATGAGAATGATAGAGAAAGGTTTTTCAGGCAGTTGTTTCTGAACCATCAAGCAATGTAGACTTGTTTCCTTTTATGTCTGGAACTGCTCCTCAGTGGAGTGAGAGCAACCCCACTGGATAAATAGAAGATGTACATGTTGACATTAATAAACTAAGTTAAAATTTTGTGTTGAAGTTCTTTTCATCTATGAACCAAAACATCTAGCAATCAATGGCCATGAAAGAAGAATGCAAATTTATTATGGAATTGAAGCCATCGTCCCAAGACCATCACCAAGGGGCTATGCAACAAAAGTAGTCAATGGAAAACTGTCCTTTTGACACTCCGTCTTTTTGCTGGCACAAAGTCCAATTTTACCTTCATCTGATTCTTTTAACTGGGCAGTACTAAAAAGAACAAGATGAGATATCCCTAGACATGGACAGCAGAATCTGTAGATTAAATAAAGGGTTCAGTTCAAAATTCCCTGATGAAAACCCTGAATGACCTGGAGAGTACAATGGACAAAAAGTTGTGTTGATAAAAACAAAGATGAGGATATTAGTCCAAATGTAAATAACTATAATCTTTAGCTCAATTCTCTATCACCGAGTTATGTTTAAGAAAGAATAAAATAATTATGAGTTGCTCAAATTAAATTTGACATTTTTTAACCTATTGTACCTGGAAGCAAAAATCTTGTTGGAACACTGAATTTTAAGGGGCTGTGTTCAAAATATCATTTGGTTGATCTGTGTAGGAACAGTAATGAAGAGAAACAATCATAGTAACAGAATTGATTCTCTTATATTCCATTCGATGAAAAACAGAAAAAGTTCAATATGAATGATTTGAAGCACTTCCAAGTATCATAGGTTGTTAGATTTCAAATTTGGTTGTCATAATGAACTTAAACAGCAAGTTGTAAATCAATGTCCACAACCTAATGATAGAAAAGCATTCATTTTACATAATAAATTTTTATTTTTCAACATAATCTTTCTTTTTCAATGCACTTAATTCAGTTGTAAATATTAAATCAAGCATTATATAGTGAACATTTCAGATCAAAAGTCATCTAGTCAGGCTACAGACTTATTGATGCACCCTTATAAAAGCAATTGTGTGACAGTAAGAAATTGTACCTTTGCTTTTGAAGTCAGCCAATACATCAGATTTCTCATGCCAATCCTGAAATAAAAGCATGCAGAATATACACTGGTTAGTAAGTTAGTCATCCACAATGCAAAAAGCAAGTTAGCCATAAGCAAAAAATAGGATTAGACTAGTCGTTCTCATCTTTTTTTGACCAATGTCAAAATGTCACCCCGCCCACATTTTCTAAGACTATCCAACTCAAAAGGTTCATTCCAAATAATATCTATATATTATTGAAAATCTTCATTCTTTTCCATATTAGTAGATTTATATTTACATGGATTATTTTTATAGAAGAATTTTACAAATAGCAATAGAAAATTTTAAAACTTGAATACATGTACAGTAATTTGTTTTAATTCATCACTAATTGTTAAATAAATATTATTGAAACATACTTCAATAAACAAAAAGTTCAATAAAAGGTCAGGGTATTTAAGTCAATTTTATTCTGATGAAGATTACAATCAATGAGAAACTTGTGAAAATATAAAAGATTCCATGTCCCCACAAATCCTGAAATTCCCACCCCTGGTTAAGAACCCCTGGATTAATCCATTTGTAAGTAATCAGTATTATTTGCTATCTCCACATCTAATCCAGTTTGTTGTTAAGGATTTTGCACAATTATTAAAATAACAAAATGTTTATAATAATCCATAATTTCTTTGATCCAATAAAAGAGGATAATAAAATTTAAGAGCCCAATATAAATAGCAGATTTTTTTAAATGCTATATTTTATGACTCCAATGATATTTTCATGATTCCCCTATCCCCATGTACATAATTTTATTAACTCCAGTGAAGAGTAATTTGATTTTACCTTGAATTTTAAGTGTAGCAGGAACTTGCCAAGAGCAATGAGGAAGACACTCATTGATTTTGTCAAGTTCTTGCACACTTAAAATTCAAGGTAAAATAGAAGAAATTATTTAAAATTTTCATGTCTTTAAAAGTATTAAAATATATTATTAAATGAAATTATGACTTTGAACCTATCTACCATCAGTCAATACTATATTTTATTCTTTAAATAAATTTAAAAATTGAAATAAAAAAATTATGAAAAATACTTTACTCTGTTATACAACATTTACTTATATTAGTATAATTAATATATTCACTGCTGCATTGTTATACCATTGTTGCCTGGCTGTTCTGGCCCATTTTGGTAAAAATAGGAAATTGTAATATACTGGAAATAAATAACTATAAAGAAGCTGATGCCTATTTCTTGGAGGTGCTGACATTTTGCTTTTGGCTGGATACAGACAAAACTAAACACCACCCTGAATGCACAATATAATAAATTTATTTAGTTGTATTTTATGTTACTATACGTCTTTACTGATTTGGAAATAGCATTAAGCATTAGTTAATTTTTAATACAAACACTAGGGGCTGACATCCAACAATGTCTTGAAAACGTATATATACATTGACAGCAGGCATTGTAAGCTTATAAAGACTTATAAATATTAGGTACTAACCAATGAACAAATGTGATGAAAAGATGCTCAAAACTTTAAAAACAAAAAAGTTTTATCATCAAAATCTATATGCTATTAATAAGAGACAAAACAAATTTTTTGATTTAACCTTAATTTTTTTTTTTTTTTTTTTAATCCTTTTTAGAATCTTCAAAATTTTGGTTACAAATCTTGTTTTTTCTGGCATCAAAGGGGTGGGGTCATAAATTAGTATGGGAAATTTGAGTGTCTTTTTTTGTGGTGAAAAACACTGATTTCGAAATTCTTGCTAAAATTAGATAGTTGTTGGATTTTAAAAGAAACTTTTAGGACTTATTCACAAATGAATTAAATTAATTTTGAAATTTTTTTTATTACATCTGTTACCTTCAACTTATCTAATTTTATGAAATTCTGAGAAAATTCATTTTTGAGGCATTTAATGTTTATATTAGTTATAACAATGAGTCCTTGGAGAATTTAAATCAAAATTTTGGGATCAAATAGGACCCACAGCTACAGAAAATCTGCTCTGAATTATAAAATAAAAAAATGTAATAATACTAAGACATTATTTAATTAGAAAAGCTTTTAATTCCTTTTATGGATAAAATGTATTATGGATATTAATGTTTTAGGGGAAAAAAATTATTTTGATGAATATTGAATTTTTACAAGAATTGCTTTATTTTTAAAAAATTTTAATTAGAAAAATTTATAAACTTTTAAAATTCTGTAGTAATTTGTATTGGTCAAGTGATATTGTTATTAAATAAAGACTGTATTTACTAATCATAAATGGAAAAGTTTACTACAATTCATTGTCCTCAAGTATTTTATAAAGAATTTTGAATTATTTTTACATGTGTATAAATGTGCTAATTTTAGTAAATATTGATGTCTACACATGACATTATCAGAAAATAAGAGCAGTAATTATAGTAGATTTTAAATTTATTGGTAATTTAACATTTCCTCAACAAGCATTTTTGTAAGATTATAAAGCTAAAGTACAAAACATATAAAATATTAGAATGCTTCAATATATTTAAAATTTTAAAGATTATTGGACAGTTAAAAAAATATATAAAAAAAACATTTAAGTTGTGATGTAATTTTATAACAATTATGTTCTCCTGAGTTAAATTTCCAAAATGTCAGTTTGTTGATAAATGTGTCAACACCTCATAAAAACAGCCACCTCCATGTTAATACATGCTTTTCTGTGATATTTTAATCTAAAAAGTAATATTTGTTTTAATTCAGTTTAATTAAACTTTAAGTCAGCTAAATTTTTTCAAATAATGTTTCACAAATGTATATTTTACTTTTGAAAGATTTTTTTTAATAAAGAGATATTGTGTTGACAGATTTGTCAATATGGATGATTTCATCAATTATACTGATAATCATTCCAATTAATATAAATTCAATTTGAAATAAAGCAAAGTATTTTGCTTATTGGAAATATTAAATTTACTAACTTGAAATTAAAACTAAAATAAAAACTTCAAGAAAAATTTTTCATTTTTAAAATGCATTTTAAACCTTAGGTATTGCTTTTTTTTTAGAGTTACCTACATTAGTATATCTAAAGCAGTGAAAGTGTTAAAGAATTATTTTTTAACATGATTCATTGATTTCTATTAAATGCTAACAGCATCAAATAAACTCTTTGTTTTCAGTCTTTAATCAAATATCTATTTTTTTCATATACATAATACTTTAGATTATAACATTCTTGTATATTAGAGAGAATCCTAAGACTGATCTAGAATGCAGTCAAATATGGAAAATTACCTCCCTTGAATATTTCATTATTATTAATACATTTGCCACTTTAAAGTTAGTGAATCAAGGAGAAATATATCTGGACCTGTAATTACTTAAATCTCAAAGATTCATTAAAATTAACTGACAGAAATGAAAAATAATTCTTTTCAATTGTAGAGCATTGAAATCATTTTCAAGCAAGCACAAAGCAAAATGGCAAAAGAAAATAAATAGCTATCACCACATTAATTTCTACTAAATTTTGGTCTGGCTGCTTATGTTATGTTCGAATAAAACTATTTCATCTGTTGTTATGGAATTTGGTAATAGGTCATCTTGTATGAAGAAGATAAATACAGAAGCAGAAAATTATCACACATTATTTTTCAATAGTATTTTTTTTCAATGAATGCAAATTTATTTTGTCTTAACTTTATTATATCAATACTGAAACTAATGTTGAGGAATACCAAATAACTTGTCAAATAAATTGTGGAAATTAAGCAACTGTGTAAGTTGCTAAAAATATATAGAAAAATAATAACTTTTAGGCAATAAATCAAGTAGAATGTTTTTTTCTTTTTTTTTTATTGTTATAATTTAACAACATTCTGGGGCTTTTTAATACTCAGAAAATAAATACCAACCAAACAGAACAGACCAAAATAGAATTTAATAAAAACAAGCATTCTGTGCAGGTTAAGAGCAGAGCATCTATAAAATGACTATATAATTTGTACATTTGTATTATTTATTGTAACCCTTTTCATATTTTGTACCAGCTATAAAGAAAAAAAATAACTAAAAAATACTTTGAAGCCTAATTTACATTGTGAAGTTGAATTTTGATCTCTATAGTTATTTGATGTTTTAAGAATATTAGAAGAGAACTTTTCTAACAAGGTATCAATAAAATTATGAGAAAGAGAAATATTTTTAAAAATGATATAGATATTTAAAACCACAATATAGGACATTCAGCACAAATCTATTTGTACAGATATTCCTTAATAAAATATTAAAACCAACAGTGATTTTAGCATAAAGTTATACTTTTAGCTTTGGAATGAATACTTTTGTTATTTTTGTTGTTCTATAAATAAAAAGTCATTTAATATTTTATGTTCTTTGCTTTAAAAGACACTTAAAGCAAAAACATAAAATGTTAAATGACTTTTTTTAAAAAGCCACTCATTTTCATTCTTTTTTAGTCATGAGAAATGCCAACTTGGAAAAAAATATATGATCTCATTATTTTAAATAAACACAAATACGCAGTCTTTTTCACTTTTTCATCTTCGATCTGAGGAAGTCCAAAATGGGTGAAATGCATTATCAGATATTTTTTTGAAACATACTTTCATGAATGTTTTTTTCCAATTGTAATTAAAGTATAACTCTATCGGGATCATTTATCCAAATTTATGCCACACACACACACACATATTTAAAAGAAAAGCTGCAAACATTTTAGGTTATAATGTGGATTTTTAAAAAATATATATTATACTTTATTTTCCATATTTTTTGCTACATGTGTTTCGGATCTTGTGAACAGCAAAGATGGTTATTTCCACATTATTTAAAAGAATTAATTTTTTACTCAATATTTTTTTATGTTTAACCATTGTCTTTTGTGTGTGGTAATAATCCAAATTCTTCTTGGACTAGTGGAGAAAATGTTCCTCTGTTTAAGAGATAATAAAACAATTAGGATTGGTCAGAGGAAGTGGGAAGGAAGGAGTTCTTTGTTTTTATTTTTTATGACCTCTGTATTTTTTTAAAGCAA